CTTGACTTACAAGGTAAGTTTTTCTACATGTGGGCCATATAATTAGCTTGATCTTCAAGCTAACAACATGTGTGGCACATGGCCAACTTGTTGACCACGTTTCTTATCCAAAAAGTCAATTAAAGACACCTATGAAGTCAAAGCAGCATCTAGGAAGCTTCTAAAAAGCTTCTATATTAAATATTATAGAATAAACTTACTTTTACCTACTTTTGCTTACTTCTACCTATTTGTATATGTAATTATTAGCTTACATGATTATGGCCGTGACACGTGCACGTGGAAGAAAAATGGTCTTTTGATGATCAAACCTAGATTTAAGATTCTTCCAAAGTTCTGTAGGGTCTTCCATTTTTAAATATTGATGTTGTAATGCAGATATAAGATGATGACGAAGGAGAAGAAGTGCTTTCCAACAAATAGCATGAGGTATAGAAATACTTGTTGTAGGAGATTCTTCAAACATAATGGCATCTGAGAGTTGTTCTGTAAATAAATTTGTTTTTGTCATTTTTGTCCATAATAGATAATTATTGCCATCCACATTCAATGGTGGAAATAAAAGAGCTTGAAAATATTGGAATGCATTGATAATAGTTGGAACCATAGTACAAGCAGTTGAAGATGTTGAAGCATTCATTATAAATAAATCTGTAAAGAAAATACAAGATCAAGTAGAAAAGTTGAATAAAACATATCTTAAAATATAAAGTCAAAAAAAAGATAAACTTGAATTTGAAAATATATATATATATATATATATATATATATATATATAAGGAAAGAAAGTTGTAGATTAAAGCAACAGAACAGTAATAAGATGGCGGCAGTAGGCAGCGGTAGGGCGGCAGGGTGGCAGCGGCAGGCAACGACAAGCAATGGTGGATAGCAGCGGCGAGCAATGGCGAGCGACAGCGGACAGCGACAACAGCGGCTGCAGCAACAACGACAGCAGTGTTAGGACGACGACGATGGTAGGTGGCAGCGTCAGCGGCGACAGGGTGGCAGCGGCAGATTTGGCGACAGTTCAGCGGCAGTTCGGCAACAGTTCGAGGCGTAGCAAGGAGCAAGAAGTAAGCAGAGGGTGGAGTTTGACTGGATGAAGTATTCAGAGCAAGCAAGGTATAGAGTGGAACAAGTATTCTAAGCAAGCAGCTAATGTGTGAGGGGCCAACAAGAAGAACAAGATCATGACCCAGACAATGAACAAGGGTAGCAACAGGTTTGAAGAGTCAAAGACTAGAGCAAAAAATTGTGATAGTGTGTAGAAGAGAATCGTGCTAATAATGTGTTGAGAATGTTTAGAAAGACACAATAGTAATAGTAAGTCATACATATATACAAGAGTAGTAGTAAGTCATACACACACAAGAGTAGTAGTAAATCATACACACAAGAAGATTTTTAAGGAGAGAGAGCTTCACACACACAAATCTATTGATCTGGTTGTCTCTCGTATACAAGAAGAGAAAAGAGGAGAAGATAAACAATACTTCTCCACTAGACTCTAAATACTATAGCTATGGTAATTACTATAGTCCATAGTAAATATTATGGAGAGCGTCGGCTACATTTAATGATCTCAACACATCTAATCCCTATTGGTAGGGGCTAGAAAAGAGTGACCCAGGCTAGAATAGCCTCCGTTGTTGGAATCTAGACTGCTGAGGCCCCTAATGGCAGAGTCCAATCTAGTGCAACTACTATTAGCAAGGCCCAAGCAAGCATGGCCCAAGCTAATGGAGCCCACTTTGGCATGGCCCGAGCTAGAGTGGCCTAATTCTACATTGCCTTAGTCAGCACGGCTTAGGCTAGCATGGTCGCGACTCAATCCAATGCGGCCAAATCCCTTCAAGTCCAATTCCACAGGGCTCAATTCCACGAGGTCCAAGCTCATGTGGTCCACGTTTGTACGACTCCGACTAAGGCGGTCCTTGATAGTACAGCTACTTGAAACGTTGTTGCTTCACAAAGTTCAACCCTAGATAGCAGCAAACCTATTTCAAATTCACATATTTCAAGTTCAAGTAATATTCTAACCTTGTGGCATCACCAATTAGAGCATCTTAATCATCCCAGCATGCAATGTATGGCACACCATCATCTTGTTTTTGGATTACCCTTATTAACAAATAATTTATCTTTTTGTGAAGGTTGTATTTATGGGATATATAATAACATGCCTTCTCTCAAAACACCTGCCACAGGTGCCACAACATTGTTGGCGTTGGTTCATTTCAACCTTTAAGGTCCTATGGCTACCTCTTCTGTTGGAGGGGCTTATTATTTCCTCTTATTTTTGGATGATTACTTGTGTTTTATAATAATCTTTTTTTTCAAAAAAAAAAAAATTAAGTTTTTTTTCTTTTTTAAAAATGTGATCACTAGGTTATTACTCAATTTGGCCAATGCTTATTAATCCTTTAAACGAATAATGGTGAAAAATTTACAAGTAAAGTATTTTCAACTTATTATAAGCTTCATGGTATTAATTGACATTTTACAACTCTTTACACCCATTTTCAAAATAGTGTAGTTGAGCATAAAAATCAATCTCTTATTAATTTGGCGTGGACTATGTTTCATATAACCAATCTCAATATTAATTATTGTGCCAAAGTGGTTTTTATTACTTGTTATTCACAAAACCTATCTTATTACTCTTCCTTACTAAATATAATCCTCTGTAAATGATGGACTAGCATTAAATCAAACCTCCATCACGTACAAGTTTTTGGGTGTTTAGCTTTTGTTAAAATATCAAATATTAAACATACAAAATTTAACCCTCTTACTTGTCGATGCTTATTTTTTAACTATGCCAAATCTTTTGGCATTTAAGGCTATTGAGTTTATGATTTAAAAACCCATAAGCTCTTTGTGAATTGAGATATGATTTTCAAAGAAGATTCTTTATTACACCCTTCTCCTTTTATAGAATCTCTTTTTCTTTTAGAAGAGATGAACAATCTTCTCAGCTTACCTATTATGGAGCTTATGGTGCTATTTAGTACACCAAAGTCACCACATGTACTCTATATGCCGCCCACAACACCAAAGGTGCCTCCCATGATTACCTCACCTTCATTGGTGGCTCCGTTGACTCCACAAAGACTTCCACTCTTTGAGGATCTTAGTGGTCATGAAGAAGCTACCTCAATGGATAAATTTGAAGTTTCTTCACTAATCTATCTTATCTTTCTTCCATTCAATGATGAGGTCATTGTCACTTCTAGTTCTATGCCTTCTTTGTCTATTATATCTCTTGTTGATTTTCTATGGGATTTTTCAAAAGACAAACTACTTTGACAATCTACACATATTACTTGTGGGATTTGACGAGTATCCAAAGCTAACAATATCGCTTTGTATGTTAGTGGATTTTTAGCCACATTAACAGATCCACTTTTGGTTCATGAAGCAATAACAAGTGAAGATGCATCCAATTGGCATCTAACTATGAAAAGTGTACATAATTCTTTAATCAACAATGGCACATGGAAGTTGGTCCTTCATCCTTCTAATTGCTCTATTATGAGCCCTAAATGGCTTTTTTGTCAAAAATATAATTTTGATGGTTCTTTAGCATGCTTTAAGGCATGTTTTATTGCTCAAGGTTTTACAACAAGAAGGCCTTGATTATCATGAAACTTTTCCTTCCATCATCAAAATGACATTACTACATCTTCTTCTTACTTTAACTACTCCTTATAACTTTCATATTCATCAAATGGATGTCACTATAGCCTTCTTAAATAGTATTTTTGAAGAAGAAATTTTCATTACTCAATCCAAAGCCTTTGTAGTATCCAGTCATAAAAATAAGGTATATCATTTACTTAAATCATTATATGGATTAAAAAAAGCTCCTTACATATGGTATGATCTTTTGGATGACTTTTTAATCACTAATAGATTTTTAAAATATATTTTGGATATCAATATTTATTATAAACGCCTATCTACATCCGTTATCTACATTAGACTTTACATTGATAATTTAGTTTTAATCTTAAATGATTTATCTTATCTCATTTCAATTAAAGTATTATTCTCTTCCTATTGTTTTATGATGGACAATAATATAATTGAATACATTTTAAGTATTCAAATTCATCATAATCGTGCCACCTCCACTCTAATTCTCTCTCAAGACAAATATATATCAAATATATTAAATTATTTTTCTATGAATGCTTGCTATGTCATTTCTACTCCTTTTGGGATCAGTATTTATTTTCTCAAGGTCTTGATCTCATGGAGAGGAGGAAGTGGGGGAGGAGGACGAGGGGGATATTGAATTCATGGCATCAATCCTATATACTCACGTCATTGAGAGACTACAATACCTTGTCACTTGTACTAAATATGACTTAGCCTTTACCATATATTATATGGCATAATTTATGGCTAAACCTAGTCCAATTCATTAGATGGCTTTAGAATGCACTCCGTTATTTAAAAAGAACTCAAAATTTTACATCATATTATTCGAGTTCTTCTTCTACCTCTTCACTACAACTTTATGATTAGAGTAATGTGGATTATACAAGAGATTTAGATACTCAAAAATCTACTTTCAAATACTTGTTTTATTTCAACTTATCTCTTTTGAGTTGACATTCTAAGAAACAAGCGATTGTAACACAATTAAATATGAAAGCGGAATATATTGCAAGTACATCTTTAAAAAAATTGATATGGCTTCAAATTCTTTTCAAAGAAATTAGATAACAAATAACTTTACCAAGTACAATTTATTGTAATAATCAATCACGTATTGCAATGATATGAAATCCATGTTTCTATGATTGCTTAAAACAAATCGATATCAAGTATCACTACATTAGAAACAAAGTAAAGACAAATGAAATTGTCTTCGAATTTATTCCTACAAATGAAATGAAGGCAGATATAATGACAAAGTCACTTCCAAACCCAAGCACAACCATTTCATAAAAGATTTAATCAACATCAATGAATTCAAATAAAATCTAATCTGTGATAATTAAGGGAGGTGTTAGATTTACTGATATATATTAGATTAATTAATACATGTGAGTAAATTTAAAATTACCTTCAAATAGTTACAAAGTAGTTCTGGAGAAGTTACAACTCCTCCAGTACACAATATAAAAGGCTCTTATGATTATGAATATGATGTAATCAAGCTATTTTATTAATATACTTCATGCTTTATGTTATTTTTCTTTCTCTTATATGACCAACCATTGAATAATAAGGTGATCAGCTTTTAATTAAGTTGCAGCTCCACCATGGCCACCAGCCTCTGCAGCCGGCTGATGTGCTTTCTTCTCGGTCTCGATTGAAGCAGAGACTGTCGAATGCCTTCCAACTTCTTTTTGTGCGACAGGTTCACCTTGAGTAGTATCATACTCAGCTTCCACAACTGTGAAAAGATACATAACGACACAAAGTTCAGAAGGTGTAAGATTTCCTGTGAAGGCAATAATCAGGTGTGGGGCGTCGAGGTTCAAAAACTAAGATATTTTTTCTTCAGAGTGACTTTAACCATTACATTGCAGTAAAACATGGTTGAAACTCAAGATATGAGAACAAGGGTGACAAACTTGGATATTAAAAAAGCAGGCAGTGTGCGTGAGAGAGAGAGAGAGGAAGGAAGGAAGGAAGGAAGGAAGGAAGGAAGGAAAAAACGAACAGGCATCGGCGTGCTGGTCTCGTTCAGCTGATGCACCCTTTTGCATCCCCATTTTGTCAGACTTCTTGTCCAAGATGGCTTTCACTGCCTCGCCGTATACCTGCCCGTAGCCCATGTCAGCTGCTCGAGTGGCGTAACCAACTCCGTAAGACTCCTCCATGTCGTCCCTACAGCAACCCTAATTTTAAAAAACTGAATAGAGCTCTAAGACAGTGATATGAAGGCAATAAAAATGACTATGAAACCAAAGTTGCCTATCCGAAGTTGTCCTCAGCGGCTACCACCACTTCGACAGTTCAATTGTATGTTCTACATCATTGAATGGATTTCCATAACACCCATGTGAATTAGAGGAGGACGACAAAATGTGAGCTCCTCTAACCCCCCTCATGACACAATGAGTAAATGCCTGAGAAATAACACAAACTGTGATGACTCGCACAAGCACACATATTCCTGTACCAACTAACACCCACACTAGAACGTGCAACAGTAGACCCTCAAGAGCGAAGAGCACCTACTTCATATCCCATTCTTTGTGTGCTGTTGTTTTAAATATAGTGGACACATTATTCAATGAGTCCTGTCACATGGTTAAGTGAAGTTCAACGTGTGTAATAAAAAGATACCGAGAATAACAGCAACTTAAATTTTTTAGTAAAAGACAAACCAACCCACGAATCAGACACATAAGCGCTAACAGACCACTCGAGGGCCACAACGCAAGAACGGCGATTCTATTTATGGAAATTCTTGACCACTAACACGAATATTCTTATTCACAGACACGCACGAAGAATGCAAGCATCAACCACTCGTCCTTTTGGCTTTACATGATACCATCTGGAATACCGACAACAAGGAATAGAAGGAACAACAACCTGTAGGCTTTGCGAGTGACGGGGTGGCTCCCGGTGGCGACAGAATCCTCATCGTCAACCTCAACGTTGTGGGGCTCCTGGCCCGCCTTCGCCACTTGCTCCGACGCGCGAGTGACCATGCCCCGATACGCAACCACCCTCGATCGATCGCTGCACAATCTCCTCCTCACAGACACGGTGGAGCCAGAAATCCTCTCCCCGAAGTGACTTAACAGGCTGCCCCCCAACGCAACCACCAATGCCTTCTGCATATCTACACTGGCTGGCCCTTCCCCCAATTACGACAACTCTGCCTCGATCCTGGTTGTGCAATCCCTTCTCCCTCGATACCTGCTCTACAAGAGGCTCTCCCAAATCGAAGCGAGTATCAGCTTCACACAAACAACACAATCTCGGTGGCCTAGACCGGAAAAATAAACAACTGAGAGGCGATAAAACATGGCGTTTTGTGAGCAAACTGAGCCGCCGCGAGCTGAACGCTGCCGAACGACGAAGACAACAAGCGTGCCAAGAGGCGATGCCATACATTTGTCGACGTGGACGTCCACGTGGAGCCTTCATAACTAGAGGGCAGTTACTTTTGTCTAAAATTTATGGTTAATTTCTCTGAAATTCTGATGAATTTGATAAGTTTTCAATTTGATCTAAGGTTTGATGTATATACATTATTTTCAAAGAATGCATTTTCAATATTATCCATCAAATACTGAAACCAAAGGTTATTCATGTTAATGTATCTAAAGACGTTGAATTAACAACATATTTATTTCAAAATCTTTTCACAATTGCATGTTAATGTATCTAAAGAATTATTGTTAATTCTTTGTATTCACCACTGTAAAAAATAAATAAATAAATAAAAACAAAAACAAAAACAAAAGAAAACAACGTACAAGCTTTGGTTGCAAGGATTTTTCAGATTTTGTTTTTTAAAGAATTATTTGAGCTGCGAAGTGCACAAGATGGATAGTAAAATAAAACTACGGCATAGATACGACATAAGTGAAGCATCCAAATATTTTTATTCGTAGACACATCGTTATTTACGTAAGAAGATTCTTTCATATATAAAAGCTAAAAAGGATAAAGAGACAAGGCTAAAAACAGTGTGCGACAAGTATAGGAAGATTCTTTTTTTTAATTAATAAATTATTGATAATTGTTTAATTTTTAAAAAACAGACTGTGTGCAAATTTTTTACAAGGCTGATGCATTTTTATTTCTAAAAAGATTCATAAAATTTTAAGAACGCATGAATTTTTTCTATATATTGTAATAAAGGCAATTAAACATTCATCAAAAGAAAAATTGTAACTATTTTAAACTAATAAGAAATGGTGCTAAAACAGTAAAAGAATCTCATTTTAAAATATAGATAATACCAAAGTCTTTAGAATTTCAAATTTTTTATGTAAATTTACTCGTGTAAAACTTTTAGAGGATGAGCACGTTAAAAGAGGTACTATTGCATTTTATGTAAAATTGTTTGTAGATATGCATAGAGAAAACACAATTATTTATTTCAGTTGATTTTAGTAGTACAAGTGATTTTGTAAAACATAATAATAAAATTAAACCTAGAATCTATACTCTTCCATTCGAGATTTGGGATCAATCAAAATTAATTGAAGTACCTCAAATTTTAATTGAGCCTCTACTTGCATTTGATGGATTTACAACAAAAGTTTGAGAATAATAAGTTCTATATATAGATTGTTAACATACTTTTAATACTAAGACTTGTTTGGTTTGTGCACAATTGTTATAAGTACTGAGTTGCATAATTAATGGTTTAAAAAACCCTAAATCTTAACTTGAGATTTAAGTGCTTTGCTTTTGAAAAACTTCAACATTTAAAAATTAGAAATATTTTTTTACAGAAAGACAAGATCCTAAAAGTATGGATACCAAGCGCTTTATATATTTAGGAATCAGATAAACGAATCCTTTATTATTGACGATTGAACCGTCCCTTCATTATTTATTTGTTTATTTATTTTAGAATTATGAATCAAGTATAACGATTATGAAAAAGCAGTCCCATATGAAAAGCATTCAAAAAGGATTTACATGCAACGAGATATGAACACTATCCTGCCAGGCCATGCGGGATTGACTCTCGCCCTTATTGGTCTAGGTACATCCTGCAAAGATCTCTGAATGGCTGGCGTGGATAGCATAGACGAAGCCCATATTCATACGATTTGTCACTCCGTTGTGATTCGACGCATCGCTGAACCATTCGACCAGGTCTCGTCCAGAATATGAAACATGAAAATATACAATGACGAGCTTGAAATGATGTATTAAGTAACCAGTATCGCATTACCACCCAACTTTACACACTAACGCAATCTGTCCATCTTTCCAAAGTGCTAATAAAATCTTCACCTGAAATTCTGGTGTTGATGAGGGAAGGAAGTTGTCGCTGGAAAATCAGACGGTTTCCTTACAATTTACAACAGTTCAGGATGCCTGTGGTTGAGTTTGCTTAAACCACCCTGAAAATCTGTTGGCCAGTTGTTGCTTCCTTCTTCGCCAGAACCATATGGCAGCACTGTACTCCTCATTGCGCACTTGCCTAGTGCTTGCCAACCAATCATATTTTTCCACCTCCTCTCGACCTGCAGAAAATATAAAATTGGGTCATTGCATGGCTGACGGGATGCATGTCGCTCTGACAAACGTGAACTACAGTAATTGGAAACTTCACGTGCTCATTCATATTGTCATGGAAATCAAAACTCCTGGACATAGCCTAGAATCCTGTTATCTCTGTCAAAAGGAAAATATTGATTGACTGAAATCATCTATGGTCACAAATCCAACAGACCTTGAGAAGCTTGTTTGTGCACACTCTAACAGACTTTCTATTTAATATTTGACAAGTCATGAACTGGTTGTGATCATGATCCACAGAGGGATGCTTCACAGTAGCTAACCATCTTCGTTAAGAACATACACCTCATATAAAAACATTAAATCTACGTCCGTTAGTTGCAATCGGGCCTGATGATTGAATCGAATTCTTCTATATCTATCTCAAGTTTATCCTACTAAAAAATCAGGACACCCAATAAGCAACAACTACCACACATAATTGGGCAGAAGGTTGCTTTGAAATGTTACCTGCGCGCCCGATTCTTTCTCGCAAATCTGGAGATTCTATTAGAGCTTTCAACTTCCCAACGCAGTCTTCCACGTCTCCAGGAGTATATAGATAGCCCGTCACACCATTCTGATTTACAATGTCCGGGATCCCACCTGCTCTAGCACAAACGACGGGTATGCCAGACGCCATAGCTTCTAAAACTACAAATCCCAGAGTTTCAGACTCAGATGGTGTGATGAAAATATCACCGCTAGCATAAGCCTGTGAAAGCTCCTCGCCTGTCAGCATGCCTGTGAAGTGAACATTTTTTCCTTCGAACATTTGCTCCAAGTCAGACCTGTTTTGGTTCAGAATTTATGGAACAAAATTCGTTAAAACGTTAAAGTTCAAATCACTGCAACAATGGGGAATAAGATCGCATCATTCAATTACATCATGTACTATTATATACGAACAGACAGAAGCATTTCCACCAAACATAAGACAGCCAATTTCCACAAGATTAAAAAACTGTAATAGTTAACATACTTGTAAGGTCCATCGCCCACAAAGACCAATCTTGTTTCTGGAATTCTCTCCATGACTCTGTCACAGAATTAAAAAGAAACATCAATTCAATACTATCTTGTGAGAAAGCAGCATGCAGACCATAATGTAGGCCTACAACGCCTTTCAATGCACCCCACAACAATAACTCAGAAAGCCACATTCTACTCACATAGCCACTCCTTGTATTTGCATAAATACGAAGTAAATATTGATCACCATGTAAGAAAGCACCAAAGTCTACGACAGGACGGAGAGGCTGACAAGGAACTCACTTAACAAGAAAATCAAGATTCTTCTCCACCCCAAGTCGACCAACATGGACAATTGTTGGAGTATCTGGCTTTCCATCACTGTAAAGATCTTGACATGATATCAAACATTATTAATAACATAATTTCCCACTCAAGGGATTCTTTTCCACCATTCGACCAACATTAAAATGATAAAGGTAAATTGGTTTCTGGGAAAACTTGGACAACTAAAAGGACAAGTGAAGTTCATAACATGTGTCAGGGTGAAACTATGAAAACGTGTCTCTAGACTTTAAGAATCATCCGCACTCACGTTATTCTGTGTCGCATCTCTGCACTCTTAAAACGAGGATGAAAACTATCTGAATCCACACCCCTCCGCCAGATACGAATCCTTTCAGCTGCACGGACGAATATTTTCCCAACAAAGTTGTTAGATGCACAGCTAGATGCAAACGTAATGGTAACAACCTACCATGAACAACAAATCTATACAACATCTAGTTAAAGTTTCCTTGTAACCACTTTAATCTTATGTACTTTTTATAGATTCATCAACGACATTGAGAGGAGCACTCAAGAGCTTACCTGTGGAAGCTCCAGCAGCTTTTAATTCCTTTCCAAGTGCAACGGACATGACCAACGTTAAATCTGCAGCCCTGTGCAAAAATTCTGTCACAGAAATGAACGAATGAATAACTTTCTTCATTTGCCATTAAGTTCTGCCCTTAATATCATACATATAACAAAGACGAAGATATGCTAGTATGTCAAACTTTGAGAAGCAGTGATAGGAGCAGATTTCCAACTTAAACCTACTACCACTTCAGGCACAGTTCGAAAGAGTGGATTGAGACAACTTACTGATAACTAGCCACATTGGCTTGACGAGCCAACTAAAGGTGTACTTTGGAATATACCTGCAGAATGGATATGACCATAGAGCAATAATTGAAAATCAGACATAAGTACTCGAATTGAAACTCGAGGATATCAAAGGCGTTTAAAAGTAATTGACAGTTAAATTGCCAGGATGACAAAAATTTATCAACTACAAGGTGTACGAGGGAAAATCACTCACATTGGGACATGCGTGTGATAAGCCATTACAACTGGCACCCCGACAAGCTTGGCTATAATGAGAGCTCCAAAAACCTGCGAGATGCATAATCCTTAAACTCGATTGAAAGAATCGGTATGCAAAGACAAAAACAGTTTTTGGTCCGCAAAGTCTACAAACTCCAAAGATACTAAATAGTAATGCTGTTTCAACCCATGGTCACACCAAGACCAAAATCAAGGCTACGTCCAACAGGCATTGAGGAGAAATGCTTCTACTCTGGACGCTGGGCTCTTCCCAAGTCCCAAATTTGTATAAAGATCAAGTGAATATACAAGAATAAGATGAGGCCAGATCGTCATCATTCATTACAATCTAAGAAAGGCATACTCACCATTATTCCGGGAGATGATGCATGAATTATATCAGGCTTGAAATTCTTCACCTCGTTGTATATGCGTGGGCTTAATGCAAGGGACATAGGAACAGCCTTATACCAAGGCAATGGAAAACTGCCGATAAGAAATACCAAAACTTCGAAACATTACTACGAAATAACCCGATCATGTCAGAGATTGTTGATGGAGCCGTCTTGACAGCACAGTGCAAGTAGAACCAGAGTGCACACAACCACACTCGTGTGCCAGCTAAAAAAAATAGTTTACCTCCAGGAGCCGATAACCTTTGCACCATGAAACTCGTCGGGCACACCGTGATGAGTAGTAACGACTAGAACCTGCCAAATAAAAAATAAAAACTAAAAATACTAGAAAAACTAAAATATTAAAACGAGAATGACAGGAATGCAATATGTGTAATTGATCCTGAGTTCGAGGCAGAAACTTAGAACGACTTTTCAGACTACGACTAAATTTCAAGTGCATGAAACGAGATAAGCAGAGCTCCAAAAGTGAAGATTGTAAATAATTAATTTTATTGAGTCAAATTACGGAAATATAACTTTCTCTTCAGTGTTTACTATGAAAAATAGTTCGCACGAATATCACATAAGTGTTCCCACAAAAGTTCCGTCGTGAAAAACTCTTAAGAATCATATTTATGATACTAGCTCTAGATATTTTCTAGCTCTAGACATTTAGCAGCGACAAATAAAAAGGATTCATCACCAACGAAATTCTAACCCGGGATAAACTTAATGCTAGTGAGTACCTCATCTCCAAGTTGTCGTAGGTAGCGGATGAAGTTTTGGTAACGATTCTTGTAACCTGAGATGTAGCTGTATCATAAACAACGCAAAACCACGATAAGGACAGAAACTTCTGTAAGACTACACCAAAAAATATATCTTTAAGACCTCATTCCCTGGGCCAAATACAGGCACCACAATCGAATGACTTCCCATCTTTACAGCTGTCGCGAAGAGGACTAGGCAGCCCAAATGAGAATGTCCTCAATACTTAAAGTCATGCACAACTTTCATGCGGTTAGAGACTGGATTTGAATTGCCACAAGGACAACACGAGATCAATACTTTCGAATCCGCTCGAAAAAGGAAAACCATCCCCAAGTAAGCTCTTGCTTTAAGCAGTACAGGAATCAGTGCGTCCATGAAGATTAATATATAATGCACAAGAATATACATACGAGAATGGAGAAGGCTCAACGAAAAGAACGACCCGTCGAGGCTTGTGAGCCCACTCCTTTGCAAACTCTTCCTGCTCAGATGACTTGACATCCGTCGTTACAAAAGCTTCACTGGAGGCAGAAACCAGAAAGTTACCATTCGCGACCTGTTTCCCCTTCAAAGAAAAACTGCTGTTGACTGTGGAAAACAATCCAAACTTAGCCTCGCCATCCCCAGGTAAAGACAAACTCGTCAGTGTGGGCGACATAGCGCTAATGAGGAGCCTTTTCCGAAGGACAGGCACTGAAACTTGCACATTGAAGGAGCTGCAGGCAATAGAGGAAACATTGGTAGGAGGGGCGGTGATGGTGGGCATGGAGCCGCAGGGTGCTCGTAGAAGCGCCATGACTAAGGGCTGTGGTGGCAAAGAATGCGCTCCACGCCCTTCCTCCGCGCCCACAAGTTCTGTATCACAGCAAGAAAATGATATGTAAAAAAAGATAGATATAGGAAATTGTCTATTGGTGATTGTAAATACGCACGAAATTAGGACTCTCTTGCTCACACTGGTTTTATAATGCAACATGAGACATCAAGGGCGATACCGCTCCATGTTATTAATAGTACTCTAAATTTGGATTAGATACAGAACTGCATGAAGATCAGTGAATGCAAGCTGAAAAGATCCGCACAACAATCAATACTTAAACTGGTCCATTACTAGTTCATGTGCATTTTGAATTCATCTCATCGTTTTAGACAAGAAATTTCGCCCGATGACAGAACAAAAAATAAAATATATTATAAATTTTCAGGGCTGCAAGAAAGTGAAAAGGAGATGACTGGAGCAGGAGAATCTGAAAGGATAGAGGAATGCTACTAAATTGCACCGCGCTGATTAGACCGCAGTAATAATATAAAGGAATGGAGAAGTCAGTTTCCAGCCAGGCGCTGAGAGATTTCAATGTCAACCAAACCTAGAAGCGCATTACTCCAGACGCAAGCTAAAACTTATTTTTCCAAAGAGGAACCGATCTTCCTTGCAAACATTCATGGCACGTGCAGGAACGCAAACAAAATCATCACAAAAATGTCCAAAATATACCGAAACGCAACTCAATTCAACTTCAAACTCAACCAAAAACTTCCGCAATCTAGCGCCAAATTTCTCACGGCCACAGCTCGACGAAATCCACAGCATTCTAAAAGCCGAAAAGGACTCTCGACCAAAGCGAACAAAAAAAAAAAAAACTTCCCGAGCGACTCTGAAACCGTTCCACAGTCAAGGCTGTACTAGCAAACGCAATCTCATGAGAAAACTCATTCTAGCTACAGAAAGAGACGCGAAGAGCAAAGAGAAGCCCAACGCGGCTGAGACAGAGCACAAAGCGAAGCGTAAGAGACCGCATGCGAATGCAAGTGCGAGCGAGAAACGCACCGAGTGTTTGTGATCAGAACAAGCGGCGATGGAGGACGCAGATGCGAAGTCGGCGCTGGTGAAATGCGTACAACGAGACTCCTTCTCCGACACAAGCTGAGTGCAAAGATGGAATGGCAGAGGCAGAGACAGAGACAGAGACGACGACGGGGCAAGTCATAGCTCGGTCGAGGATACACATACCACACACAGCCTTGTGACCTCAATCTCATTCCTTCCCATGCCCGACCCCGACGGTTTCATCTTGTAAACGGTCGTCCTCTCCCTCCCTCACATTTCTGTCGTCTCCACTCTAAAAGTGGTGGCTGTGTTTCACAGCAAGCACCCCCTTGGTTTTCATCAAAAAACTTAACCTGGGTATAAGGTAAGGGAATTGTGCTAGTAAGCCGTGTTTAGAGTGAGGTCGATGTTCAATGTGAGTGTGGAGGTTGTTTGTTAACCATACATTCTCCGTGTGACAAGGCTAGGAACACTATCTCGAGTCATACAAAATTTTATTTTGGAACCGTTCTAGTTCAAACTCCAATGCAAACATTGTAGAGTGAAATTTCTATCACCAACTCATTTCATCACACTTTAAATGATGCTTTAGACAAGGTGAAATTCCATCCATATTGCCGTCAAGAACATTATAATAATCAATATTATATTAATGATATTGATTATTATCAAAGTTATTATAATATCATAGCAATCAACAATACATTGAGTTAATATGGCTTCTTCTTTTTTCTTTTTTTCTTTTTTTGTGACTAAATGCAATTGAAGGTGAATGCATTATTGAATGCAAGGGACAATAGGCATGTTGCATAAAAATAACAAATTTTTATTTTAATTTATTCTAATGGGATTATTTTTCAAGCTCAAGCATGTTGTGTATTGTAGATTCAGTCAATTTACAGCAAGGGTGGAGAATCAATATTTGTCGGTACATCATCTCTGTTGCTATAGACTTTGCATATTTCTTTTTGTCATTCTCAACATTGTGACTACGATGATAAAAGTTGCATTTTTTTTATCTAATTGTTGGAAGACATTATTGATGCACAATGGAATAAGGAATTAGCTGAAATTGGACTAGGAAATTGTGGTGAAGCAAGTGTTGAACGAAGGTCTAGAACTTACTCAAGATTGCTCTAAAATAGACATCCTTCAGAGCTCAAATGAAAATGTTATTTGAGATGGGAATTTGAGCAATTATTATTTTTTAGTACTCTGGAGTGTAGGCATGAAAACTAAAAAGGGAGAATAATAACTTTTTTCAACTCTTCTCTAAAAGAACCATAAATAGAAGAATTTTGTACTTAATTTTTTTGATTCTACATTGTATATATTTCACATCCTTTGACAATTATTTTTCTCTCTTCTATAACAAAAGCTAAAATATTATTATTAAACATAGATTTATATAGGGTTTTTATAAAAAAATAAAATCATTTTATCATTTTATAATTTTATATTAATAATTTTTATCTATATAGTTATATTTATAGTTTTAAAGTTTTTATATTATATTTATTATATTAAATTTATTATATTACATTTCATATTATATCTTCATGGTAATCAAAATTCTTGAGCAATAAAGTTTTATTGGAATTTTAGAAGTATTATACAAAAATTTAGTTGTAGAAATTTTATTTCATGCTTTTATGTGATAATTATTATATTCAACTTCATATATAAATATATATATATATATATATATATGTATATTAATTTTATTTAATAAACAAATTATTAAATATTTTAAATTATCTTTATTTATTTTGGTTTATAAAATGTAATATTTTGGAAAAATTGAGCTTTTTGTTATAGCAGGTTGTTGTAAAAATATGTATGATTGTAATTACTAGAGATGCATAGGTGTAGAATATTTTTGTTAAAGCATTATGGCATTATAATTTGACTCATTAAGCTATACACACTCATTTTTATTTTATAGATATTATATAATTTTTCTAAAATACTTAAATAATAAGTTTTTATTGAAACTTTATAGAAGTATAATTTTAACATTTATAAGCTTACTCCAATTATCTAGTAGAAGCTATATTGTTGTCAACAATCCAGCTTTAACAATGAATTAGAGAACAATTGTGCAATCATAGCAAAAGAAATATGAGAGATTATTAAAAAAAAAAAACAAAACAAAACAAAACAAAACAAAAATAGTTACAATTCCTAAAGCCATACATAATTTAGGGAGGATGAATATTTTGTATCCTTATTATAATGTATTGCATTGATTTGATGAATATTTAATCCAATTGCTAAAGAAATTGCTATTATTTGGATAATGTTGTCATCAAGGAAGAGTTTTTCTACCATCTCTATATTTTCCATCTTTGCTTTTGAGAGACTTATTTGAGGACTAGAATACAAGCGCAAGGGAGTTTCAAGAAAATATCTGTTAATACAATACTATACATGTATTTACGTCCTTAGGTATAAATATTAATTGATCTTTGCTTCAAAAAAATGTTCTAATAGTTTTAGAATAAATAAAGAATTGCACCATTTAATGAAAGTGTTATTATCAAAAGAAGGTATCAACTCAACTTATATATAATTCTATATCCATGATGCATTATTTGCATAAGATAGAAGAATGAGACATAATTGTGGTTTATTGAGCCAAACTGTGTGAAAAATTGAAAAAGTTTTGAGGGAGAATAATTTGTTTATTAGATTATATAGATAGGCACATAAAATACTATCTCAGGTATAAAATAAAGGAGTAGTAGAAGTGAATCTTGCTATTTTTTTGTACTTCATGAATGAGAAAAATACATGGCAATATAATCTTTCAACTACTTTTGAAGAAATTGCTATTATATTATTTAAAGATGGATTGGAGCATAATGCATTTTATGATATTATTATTTATCTACATAATAATGGGCTATTAAAAAATATTCATGAGACTCATCCTACTTATTTGCCCCTTTATTATACTCTTTTTTTCTAGATTTAATTGCCCATATATTTGAGCTTAAGAAATGTGGAATTATGGAAGATATAAAGAAGGAAGTTGTCTTTGGTGATGTTGTTGCACATGTTTATATTATTGAGTTTCAAAAGAAATATCTATCTCATATGTATATCTTAATTTTTTTGAATAGAAAAGGTAAGATTAGATATACTAGAAATATGGATTGTATAGTTTTTACAAAAAAATTAGATAAAAATAATGATCGAGAGCTATTTGAAGTCATTCTATAATACATAGTATATGGTCCATATAGAATGCAAAATCCTCAAGCACCTTACATAGAAGATTACCATTATACAAAGACATATCTAAAGGTGTTTGTAGAAGAAACAACAATAGATATCAATGGATATCCTTAATATTGACAAAGAAAAGATAGAAGAACATTTGAAGTTTGATGAATAGTTGTTAACAATAGGAATGTTGTTCCATTTTGTCCAAAACTATCTTAAAAGTATAATTGTCATATTAATATTGAGGTATGTGCATCTATTTGTACTGTCAAGTATATCTATAAATATATCCATAAACGCCATGATTGCATTACAATGTAATTTAAAAACCAACAAAACAAGGTCAAATAATATTTGGATGTAAGATACTTTGGAGCTTCACAGATTGCTTAGAGACTTTTTGGCATGCGGATCCATGAAAAAATGCCAAGTGTTGTTTGCTTGGCCATTCATCTTCCAAAAATACATCAAGTAGTATATGATGTAAATGACAAGGCAGTTGTAATTTTAGAATGTGTTGAAAGACAAAAGACAACATTACCTTTATTTTTTAAGATGTGATTAGTAATATCAATAGGAAGGCAATATACGTGTGAATAGTTTTTACAACATTTTATTTGGCATAAGACAAGAAGGACATGGATGTTAAAAAAATATAGATTTTCTATTATAAGATTATATTTTATAAATAAAGCAATAAGAAAAAGTTGTTATTTGATACTTTTATTATTCTATATTAAAGATCCATAATTATTTGAGCAATTAAAGACTATTCATGGAATTTTCCATCCAAAATTTAAAAGTGGATGTTTAGCTTTAGGATTGCTTAAAGATGATAGAAAGTGGCAATAATGTTTAGAAGAGGTATCAAAAATACAAATTAAATTTCAATTGAGGATATTATTTGTTGTTTTTCTATTGCATAGAAATGTGCTAAATCCATTAAACTTATAGAAAAGATTTTGAAAAAAATATCTTGGATGATTTCAATGCTTGTTTGGAAAAAAAATATGGAATTAGCAATCCAATAGAGGAATAAATTAAGGATTTTGGACTTTTCTTATTAAAAAAGATTTTGCAAGACTCCCAAAAAATGCTTGTATAATTTCTTCCAATGCCATTGTGAAAAAAAAAATGGAATGCAATATTTAATAGAAATTAATTTATTACTAAAAAAATAGCATGGAACATTCAATAATTAGAAGTAAATTTGGAATAGTATGTTCCACAATTGAATCTTCAACAAAGAAAGATATTTGATGATATTGTGGCCTTTATAATAGAAGAACATGGATGCATATTTTTTCTAAATAGACTTATAAGAATTGATAAGATATTTTCCTACAATATTTTGGCAACTAAAGTTTGATTCATATAAAAGATTGTCATATATGTTGCATTATCAAAAATTACCATATTTCTACTTGAAGGAGGAAGAAGTGCCCATTTTATGTTCAAAGCTATATTAGATTGTAACAAAGTCTCTCTTTATTTAATTACTAAGAATTTCCAACCATGTTGAGTTTATTTGCCAAACTTTGCTTAGTATTTGGGATGAACTTCTAATGCAATAGCATTATTGTCTTGAGGCAGTTGATGATTCTTTTAAAGCCATTTTAGATATTGATTGCCTATTTGGAGGAACTACAATATTTTTTAGTAAAGATTTTTGCTAAATATTGCAATGATTATAAAAGAAACTCAAGAAAAAATTATAGTAGCATCTTTTTGACATTCAATACTTTGGCCTCAAATAAAATTCATAAATTAAAAGAAAACATGAAGTTGAATTTATGAGCACTTCAAGTAGATATTAAGTTTGCTAATGAGCTTCTTCATGTATGGAATGCACATACACACATTATATATATTAATGGTGGTACATTTGAATATTTATGGTTATATTATTATTGACTAATATTTATATTTTCTACTTACCAAATTAGAAATGATACAAATTTATTGCTTGATAATATAGTTATGCTTCTTAATCACATGATTATTGATCAACAATTAACATCCTTAGTGGATGTTATTTATCTAATAATGGAAATGATGGTGTAGCAAATGATGCCTTCTTAAGAGAGAGAATTATTTTATCTATAAAAAATAATAATATAGAAGATATTAATGAGAAGATTATTATTATATTTCTCAAGGAAGAACAAAAATATCTAAGTGCCGATGAAGTTATTGCTAAAGATGGTATTGACAATAATAATTTTTATCAAATTGAATTTATCAAATAGCTTAATCCATCTACAATGCCTAAATTAAGGCTTTGTCTTAAGATTGAGACTCTAATGATGCTATTAAAAAATATTGATCATTACTAAAGACTTTACAATAGAATCCAATTATTAATTACACAACTAATAGATCAAGTTCTTCAAGCAAGAATTCTTGGAAGAAAATTTGCTATAAACTTGATGTTCATTTTGGAAATTACACTAACTTCTACAACAAAAGAATTTCTATTCATTCTAAAAAAAAAAGTAATTTCCAATTTGTCTTGCATTTGCAATAATAATGAATAAATTTCAAAAATAATTGGTGAAGCATGTTGGTTTGGATCTATAACAACCTATTTTTTTCCATGGTCAATTTTATGTGGCTCTTTCTTGATGTAAACCCTCTTATCCTATCAAGATTCTTCTTTTTAGAAATGAAAGTTTAAATTCTACGTTGAATATTATTTTTTCATATGTTTTAATTATATTTATTTATTTATTTATTTATTTATTTTTATTAATTTCAATATATCTTTGAGTATCTTAATATACTTTTATGATTTTTTAATATAATTTAATATTTTTTTATATTTTTTCACAAGTAATTCCTTGAAGAAAATTAACTACTTCTATGACAATAGCTCACGTTTACCTATCTTACTTTGTAGCTGAAAGCTCTAATGTATGTTTTATTTCTTTCTATTTATATTTTATTGTATTTATATTTGAAAAATATTCTTTGGCTCAAAAAAAATTCTTCATTTGAGTCATGCTTCATCTTTCCGTGACAACAACACGAGTTCATTTGATCTTATATAACAATAATCAAATGAAGTTTTATTTTATATATATATAATAAATTATATTATTACATTATTATATGATCAAGTGAATATATATATATATATATATATATATATTGCATTTCTACTAGCAAAAATTTATATACTATAAGATAAGAAGAACCTTGTTGGTATAGTTGCTAGAATTTAAAATAATTTGTGATTATGTCAAATATGTCATACTGGTTACAACGTTTATTTTGAAATATTATGAATGAAAATTTAGAAAAGTGAGTTTTATCTTAACTTTAGTATTATTTTTGCATTTTTTGTAATATACTAGTTAAAATTATCTACTTGCTAAGTCATGTTGTAATAAGTCATATGATTGTAAATGCTTGTATATTTTATTCGGAATTAAATTTTACTAAAATTATAAATACTTACAATTTTGTATGAATATTACACCAAAAAATGGATAAGAGTTTTAATCTTGAAATTACAGATTTTAATTGCTTTTGAGTGTTAAGAGGTATTTATTTGAATGATTTATAACCCTTAATAGTCTTTTGATATTATGTAAGTAACTAAAATATGTATTCATATTTATGACTAGCATTATCATCCATTGCATTTTCTTGGAAAACTATGTTAAAGCAAGGTATTGATGTATAATATTAAAAAATAAAAAAATAAAAAAATAAAATGAATCAAAGGTTTAAGTATAGTAGAGATGCTTCTTCAACATTTTATATTTTTTTCTAGAATAATTTTTTTTCATTCAATTGGATATCATTAATTTTAAATATATATATATATATATATATATATATATATATATATAAACTTTAAAACATGTAATAAATTTTAAATTAACTAAATTTTCTTAGAATTTAAAATTATATATATATATATATATATATATATTAGGAAGTTACTAAAACAATGCCCTAGGTTGTTAATACAACATCCTCCTCAATTTTAATGATTAATTCAATCTATCTTCAATCTATAGTCATTGTTCCTAGTCTTTGTTTGTAATTCATATCCTCCATCCTATGTCCATGTCTCATATTCCTAGTTCCCATCTTGTATTGCCTATCCTTGGTTCCAAGTCTCCAACCCTCTCATCCTTGTTTTCTACTCCCATTTTCCTATTCCTAGTGCATGTCTTTTGTCTCTACCCCCTTGTCTCCATTCCATGTCCTGCATTCCTAGCCCTTGTCTCAATTTCCAATCCTTGTATTTGTTTCCAATACTTGTTTCTTATTCTTATTCACATTTTATAAAAAATGATATATAACTCTTAATGCAATTTATGTTTCTTACTTAGGAACCATCTATAAAATCCTAAAGTTATCATTCACAATGATAAGGGATAAGAATGGAGGATGAACATTAGTAATTATGACAAGGAGATGAAGATAAAGTTGGAGGGATCAATGATTGAGACATGATACTTCAGACAGGGATTAGAGACAAGGACATGAAATAAACTAAATTAATCATGAGATCCCAAAGGGGTGTTGCATTAACAACATGGAGGTGTTGTTTTAGCAACTTTTTATATATTACTATTTAAAGATATTTTAAAATCAACTATATTTTGTATCAAAATCAAAATGTAGTCTAATTTTATTAGTGCTTAGTATTAATATCTTAGCTATTTTAAAATAGCTATTAATAAAGGCATTAGATTGAAGATGTTTTTCAAGTTTTTTTTTTTTTTTTTTTTTTTAATATATTCATATATTGAAGTCAAGATTGGTTCTTGAATCCATATACATTGAATATTAAAGAATCTTAAAATGTATTTAGAAATGATTAATTTAAAATAGATTGAAAGTAGCTAAATAATTATGATATTCTTTAACTTATATTATTTAAATTTTTTCATTAAAAAATATTTATATATACATGTATTAATATGTATATACATATGTATTGCAAGTTTTTATTATAAAAAAACCAAAAAGATATTAAATAATATTTATAATACCATGGTCCTTTAAAATCAGCTGGTATGTTTAATGACTTGCAAAAAAAAATATTAAAGCAAACCCTGGACTCTATAATTGCATTTATAAATATATAAATGTAGCATAAGGAAAATAAAAGAAGTAAAAGATTAACAAATGGCTTTACTTGTTTTCTTTGAGCATTAGAATGCATCTGCAATCACCAATATCTTAACAGACCTATAGATTTAAAAAATCGACGTTAAAAATATGTTTAACATTGTTATTTTTACTAACATGATTATTGTAAATTTTAAATTTTCATTATTCATCATCCATTTAATACGAGTACCATTTTATTGTCTTATTTGATCACTTTGTGTCATGTAGACTATTTATGAGATGATTAAATAGTTTTTTTTTATCAGTATAAAATTCAAGCTTTCTTTTTTGTTGTAGTTTTTTTAAATGATAATATGGTTTTGTATGTAAGTAACACAAAGAAAAAGATGTAATAACTCAACAGAATGCTTGAAGAGAATTGATAGTAAATTTACCTCGAGAAACTGTGTTTTGGTGAAAGCAAAAATTATTAGAGTACATTATCATACTGCAGACAACAGATAATACATGTCAATGATCATACTTGTATTGAAAGAAAGTACATCAATCATGTACAATAGTGAAGAATACATTTGTGCACACCTCAAATCTCCAGTACCAGTCACGTGAGAAATACTTTTTAGAGCAACACTCAATTAATTAAAAGTATTACTTATCATGGGTACTGTTTATCATGTACTCTCGCCTACTAAATCATGTGCAGTATTTCTAAAGAAATGATACAATCTAAGGTTGTGAGACTTCTGGGAACGTGAAAAAAATCCTTTGGTATACCATCATGGCCGGGACAAATAAATTCCGATACCTTACGAAGTAGTAGTTCCTAGGGCTTGGATCTAAAGATGCCTTCAACAGACACTTGCAGTCCTTTGCGATATCACCTTTCACTACTTAGTTGTATGAGAGAGTGGAAGTCATTGCATTCACTGGACCATTACTGTAATTGACTACGGTCTCTGAGTGTCAAATTTCAAAATGAATAAACTGACAAGCAAGCTAGCTGATACATACCGTGAAATGCAAACATTATCCAATACAACGAGGTGACAGATAAAGTCGAACAAGTTCGCCTAGGAAACGGTCCATTCAAGAAAATACAACTAGGCCAGGATGTTGCTTTGGCATAGCAGACAGGGCTTTAAATGCCATCAAATTTCGGCTTCACGAAAATGATTGGTACAAGTGCTTCACATCACATGCCGAAACTAACTCCACCCTAAGCGGCAGCAACCTGCTTCCTGGGAGCGGCCTGTGCGCCTGCAGTGTGAAAGTATGTACATGAAAAACACTTGAAGAACACGAATGAAATCACATTCCAAAATAAGTCGACCGGTCCTAACGAAGTGGACCTCATAGCCTTCAGACAACTATTACCATAAAAGAAAGTGGATTGATCAGACCAACTTGTAAACTTCACAATCAAAACAAAATCAACTCCACGGACCTCAAGAAAAATGTTTTCTTTCTCTGAAGTCCAGAACATACCTTCTCTGAAATTGTTACTGAACCTACGGGGGAGATGGCGAAGATGGCGCATACGCCCTGTTCCAGTAGTTTTCCTCCTGATAGCCTTCACGCTCCAGTTGTCTGCACGACCTCACATTTTGCATCAGTGAGAGTGGATCAAAAAACCGAAATCGAACATCGACATTTTGCTTGACACTTCTCAGTTGAATACCAACTAAGATGAGTTATTAGTCGTGCAGTGTAAACCTAGAAGTACACGATAAACTCAATTCACAACTTCGATAAGCAACAATAACATTGACGCACTATTCAGACATTTGTTACAAGGGATAGAGAAGGCACTGATTACAAGATCACGTCTGAAGAACACGAGTGTTGTGCCCACCAAGCTCGGATTGGACGTACGATTCACGAATTAACAGGCAGATTCATTCCTTCAACGGTGGTAAAAAAAAGCCAGTGTAAAAGTAAGGAATAACGTACAAGAACGAACACGAGCGGCAGGGTATGCACATGCCGAACAACGGCTCTTCTGAATGTGAAAACTTCTACGCCCACAACGCCTGCACAGCGTGTGAGATTTGTTCCGGCGCTTCCCGAAACTACCGGTTCCCTTCGTCTGCAATCCTCAAGCACCCCCCCCCCTCTTCATAATTCAGAACCTTAGCCGCAAGACAAATCTCTCCTTTCTCTCAGTTCATACTCAAACCTAAAAGCTCTATAAAATAAACCCAATCAATCTCTCCATCAAAAAACCCCATCTACAAAACCAATCGAATCAGACCCGCTTCTCCGTAACTACAACTCAATCCAATAAACCCCTGACCTAATATACGAAATTAACCTCGTCGCAACTACGAACGTAACCAAGTCAAAACCCTCTACTGCGAAAATCTCAAAACCAATCCACAATACTCAACGACAACAACAACAACAAAAACAACCACAACATCAGCAACCATTGCTCACAAAAGAAACTTAAAGTTTCATGTATTGGAGCAAACTCCGAACCAACCAAGACGAGACTGGTCTCAATAGAACCGCAAGAGGACAGGCTTTGCCACAAGACGAACACAGAAGGAGCGCAGTACCATGTTGGATCACAACTGCAGAGGAGCAGGAGCAGCAGGAGGAGGAGGATGATTAACAACGACAATGGCACCAAGAGCAAGAGCTTCACGTGCCGCCTCGGCTATAAAACCCTAATCCAGCTCCCTCCCTCCCTCCCTCCCTCCCTCCTCGCCAAGCTCGCTCCTCCTCGGGGTTGTATATGTGTATTAATTAACACACTTAACATGCTTAGTATGGTTGCAAATAATGAAATAAGCTTTACAATTTAACGTGATATTTGAGGGAATAAGATATTTATTTTTATTTTTATTATTGAAATTAGTGAAGTGGTTTATTATATGAAATGATTTGTGATCTTTTAAAAGAATGATTACTCACTTTGAAGTGTTTATATGTTATTTTTATAGTGTTTGAAGTACAATTCAACTTTCATGTGAACTTCAATTACTCGAATGAATGAATGAATAAATAAATGCCTCTAAATGATTAATACGATTCTAAGACCTCGTTTTCAAATCAATGGAAGTAGTCTTAAAAGGTCTGTGATTGTCTTATTTGATTACTGGTTTTTTAAAAACATTTCGAACTTCTGGGGCACACAAAAACATTGGAAATATGCAATGTTTTTGAACATTGAAATTGGAAGTATTAAGTCAAAGTTAAAATTCTGTTTGTAGATATTAGATTCCCACCAATGATCTCAGTTTTGTAATTCTTGATAACACACACACACACACACATAGAGAGAGAGAGAGAGAGAGAGGTATATCCATATGCATGTATGTGATTGTATTGAAAATGCTTCTGGACTTTTTAACTTAATAGAAAACCCATCTTTGTTCCTCAAATTAAGCTCCTTTCATTTTGTGTTTGAATTATAATCTCACCCTTGATTAATCACATTATTATGTTTTTTGTTGTTGTTATTATTATGTTTTTTGTTGTTGTTATTATTATGATTATTAATATTATTGTCTAATTCTATTCTAACCATTTTTCCACCCACAATTTGTTTCTTCGTTTTCATAACTCATTAAAACCATGCACAAAGCCTTCAAAAGCTCTACTTTTGAACACAGATACACCACATTCATCCAAACTAGGAATGATAATTTCTAAGATGAAATTCGAGTAAATCCAACGAAACATCGAAGGCGTATCATCCATCCACGGAACCATCCATCCAATTATCAAGCAACGAAACGCATCCACAAAGACCATCTATCTACTCACGTACTAATTCATCCATCCAGTAATGGAGGGGCCTTCGTTGAATTGTGTCGCAGAAACCTCTCTATTCAATCGCAGATTCATTTGCGATCCCAAACCCCTCTATCTCAACCGCTGATAAGATTTCTGGGAACGAAGGGAGAGAACGTAGGGGAACCAGGGGGCGGGCAGGCAGTTGGAGGAACTCAGAAGCCATTAACAACTTTTTATTTTTATTTTTGTTTGTTGTTGTATACAACAACCTTCGATGTACATGATACCTTTGTTTTTAGGAAGAATTCTTGCAACTCATAAATTCTATAGATAGTATTAGAATATTTTATTAAATACATTATAAAATATATCTTGTATAAACTAAATTAAAATCTGTTTAAAATATTTTTGAAAAATTTACATTGCATCAACATACAATGTGATGATCCAAACAAAAAAGGAAAAAAAACTTCAACACGATTATTTAGATAATTTTTAAAACTGTATAACATGTGTTATTTCATTAAAAAATATTTAAATTAATTGGTTTTAGTTTTATGAAAACAAAATAGTTCCACTTTTAAAATAATAGTCTGAAAACTATAGTAATGCACAAAAAACCTTAGTTTTTAGTTTTATATATATATATATATATATATATATATATATATACATAAAATAATTATGGATCTAAAGTAATTCAATAAAATTATATCATACGTTTTTTACCACAAATAATTACATAATTAAATCAAATTTATAAAAGAGGTATTTTAATGCAAGATATAGCTTATAATAAACTTTACTTCTAAGAATAAATAAAATTATGTTAAATTAAGATGACATGTTAGATAATTAACCAGATTACTAGTTACTTAATCTTGTAAATTTTTATTTAATCTTCTCATGACTATTTTCAATTTATTTTAAGAAGCATAAGCTCTAATTAAAGTAGCTTAACAAATAGTTGCAATGGAAGTACTACTGAATAAATATGATATCAAATTCGTTTTAAACATAAGAAATGTTTAATACAAATATTTGTATTATATATTATAAGACGTTTGTATAACATTAAAGATAATGATGTATGTATATATATGTTTTATTTAAATTTCCTCAGAAGAAATAAATAAGATTGAAGAAAAAATAAAATTTTATGTTTGCATATACATATAATATAAATCAAAGAAGTTTCTAAGTTGCAATTAATATTTTAATATTTTTAATATATATATATATATATATATAGAAGATGATAAGACATATGTTTTTAATAATAGTAGTTATTTCATTCATTTTATATTTTATAAGTTAAATTAAAAAACATATATATATATGTATTTACATGCATGCATGGAAAATTAGGTTAAATGTTTTCTTTGGTAAAAATGTTATATTTAAATTAAAAATTTTAAAAATTTATTTATAATAATAAACTAGAAAAAAACATAATACAAAAAAATATTGAAACATGTTGATTAGAATAATATTACTAAAAGAAACCATAGTTTGGATAAATCAATAATTAAAATAAATAAGATTAATATAAAAATATCTGCAAACATTGTAGCTTTTAAAAACATCTGCAATTTCTTCTAGACATATACAATTGTATTAGAAAAGATAACATAGTTGAAGCTGTAAGGTATAATTAAATTAGTTTTTAGTTGTATTTTGATAATAATTTATAAATGAGAAAGGTTATCCAATGCCATGCCCAGGTAAGCCACACAAACTTGAAAGGAAGGAGTCATCCGGGTAAGTAGTAAGGGCATCAGCATTACCCTCTTCCTCAGGGCTACACTGTAAATAAATACTTTGAAAAGAATTGCTTGGAACAAGAGGGATGGTTGAAAAGTGGGAAAGTGAGGCTGCCTATGAACAAAATTCTGCACCCATGTCTTTGAATTTGTATCAGTGCGGGCCCAATCAGGAATGGCTTCAGAGTTCCCAACCTGCCCGCCTCCTGGATCCCCTACGTTCCCTCCCTCCGTTCCCATAATTCTAATCAGCGGTTGAGATAGCATGTGAGCGGGAGATGAAATCTGACGGCCCAAAATGGCGGAGCCAGTCGAGTGAATGGAGAGGTTTCTGCGACACGTCGTGACGAGGAGTGGGGACTGACTGTCAGCCAGACATTCGAAGCATTGCAATCTCGCAATTAAATGACGACGACGACGATGTTGTTGATGTGGGTGGCGGTGGAATTACGGGGAAGCATTACCGCCATCCGTCGTTCGCTGCCCACAATCTCCGAATTCATGTTTACTATCTGATGGTTCTCCATCTTTCAATTTGAATCTCCCTGGACCTTTGTTTGCTGCGGTTTCGTGGTTGGGTTTCAATCCCATGGCAAGTGAATTGTAGCAGCAGCAGCAGCAGCAGTAGTAGCAGTAGCAGCAAATTGAGCGTAGCACTGGAAGAGAGAGAGAGAGAGAGCCAGGTTTTTGGTTTTGATACGTGGGAGTTTTGGGATTGCGGAATTGCTCGATGATGGATGCGGTTGGGGCTGAAGTCCTGGAAAATGGAGGCGGACATGGAAGAATTTGTAGGATTGTGAGGAGGAGCAAGAGATGCCTCTGAGTTGCTAAAATTGGATCCTCGTGGCGTGTCTTGTCAATTTAGCTTGGACATGGCTCCTGCTCTTTCCTTGAGCCTTCGTCCGTGTTCTTCTTTTGTAGTTTTTGCTTCTGGCAAGGTATTTTTTTTTTCTCGTATATTCAATTCTCCTCTTTACTATCTGCCCCTGCTCGCTTCCACTTCCCCCGTGCTTTTGATTATGGTTCGATTTTTAGTGTAGCATGGAGCGCCCGTGGTAAGGCATTCTACTACCACGGGTGGTTTATGTCCCGCACAGAGCATGGGCATGTTTCAGATTCATTAAAACATCGTATCAAACTACTGTATTCCAATGCAAGGATAATGACTTCGTATCAAAAACTATAATTCCCGAGTCATTTCTGAGGAGTTTATGATTTTGAAGGGCTTTGTATTGTCATAAATGGGTGACAACACAGGCGAACTCTTGAATTTTCTGTTTCATAGAAATCGAATTTGTCTGAGGGAATGTCTTTTCGCATATTTTGCTGGCTGTTAGAATCAAGATTCTCCTCAGCCACCGCGGATCACCTCTAATGTAAAACGCAACCTTCGTCTACTGAAGCTCTTCAAGGTGATAGTTTTTGCCTTTTTTTATTGTTGATTTTTTGATGCTGTCTGCATTTGTTCTTTGTTACACATTGGGGTTTTTCTGCAGAATATAAATTTAAAAACTAAAAGAATTATACTTGATGTTCAACTTTGAGAATTGGTCTGATATGTGTAAATCGAGGTTAAATTTTTGTTATTTGTGGATCTGCTTGGTCTGCGTGTATACGATTCACGTTAGAAAAATTCATGGTTGCTTGGATATTAGGAGTTCGCCAAGAAGCAATCAGGGGGTAATACAAGGCCCAGCACGAGTTATCGTAAGAAGCCGGTAGAAAAGCAGGAAATGCCTGATGGTGCAGACAATTTTGTTGACCCAACCACCAAGCTTTATAAGTATGTTTCTTTCGCCCACGTTCAAATAGTGCAGTTCTCGCTCTTAATAAACTGATGTTAGCTTCTTCATCTCTTGGAGAATGATGAATGCTCATCGGGTCTTGTGTGTTGGGTGTTGCACAGTATACCGCTTGTGTGAGCCTCGGCTTTAAGTTATTGGGGATGGGTTATGTGTGGCAGCACCAATGATGGCTTTGATTTCGCGACATCAGTGCTCTTAGTTGATGGTTACAATGTGTGTGGCTTTTGGCCAAAACTGAAAAAACATTTTGCACGCGGTCAACTAGAGACAGCTAGAGACAAACTCATCCACGAGCTTATCACATTCACGCATGTAAAAGGTATTACTTGTGTTAACTCTAGAGATTGCTTCAGTACATGAATTCATTTCACCAGATCTGAGGCCTCTTGACTAGCTTACCATGGTGGATTGCTACAGACATCATGCAAATTTTGACATTTTCATCACTGAGAGACATTGTTACGTAGGAAATTATTTGGTGACTCTAGAAGTTGCAGCTTTCACATGAAGGTTTTACTTTCTTATTCCAGTCCGTTGATGCTCTGGTAGCATGTGGGCAATGCCAACTCTTCAGTCAGTTTGAATAGCAATCCTTCTAACAGTGCCTCAACGGACATCGTTCTTGCAGGTCTGAAAGTGGTTTGTGTTTTTGATGCTGCAATGTCTGGGTTGCCCACTCATAAGGAATGCTTGAACAGGTAGCTAAACAAGCTCGTAACGCATTTATAGTAACATTTAGAGTGGACTTGGAGCTTTTATTGACATCGTGTGATTATAGTAGAACCATTTTTTCGAAGCTCAACTCTAAGGGTTCATTTCATCACTCATAGATTGACCACTTGACAGGATATATTCAATATTAAATCTTGCATGATGTGTTAATGATGTCTAGTAAACATATGATAAACCAGATTACTTGATTTATGTACACTTATTTGTTCTGAAACCTGATGTTCAGTCGACACCATCAGAACTATAGGTATTCTACGGGTCTGTATCCATATATGCTATATGATTGGTTGCGAGTGACCTACTTTTGTGGCCTGCAGTGTGGATATTGTATATGTTGCTAATACAGATGCCGACTCGTGGATTGAGAGAGAGGCAAGTAACTTCAACTTTCACTAAAATACTCAATTACGTTGTTGAACAATTTCGATGTTCGTGCTTATATGGTTACTCCATAACAGTGACAGTTGAATCTCAAAAGTGGGACCTTTAGTACATATGTTCCACGAAGCTTTGTTCGAGATACCCAATTTGAGCATAACGGAGTTTCATGGAACTCAGTTTTGCAAATGTCGAATTATACTGTTTGGCAGGTCACGTTATTAAGGGCAGATGGTTGTCCAAAAGTTTGGGTGGCCACTTCAGATACTTTCCATCAACATGCGGCGCATGGCGCGGTTTGTAACTTGTATCCTATAATCAACTTGTCCTAGGGTTATTTTTGTACAAAGGTATGCGTCTTGAGGAGGTTTGTTTCCCAGCTATCAACGTTGATCCTTTGGTCCATCTAGGTCTTGTTGGAAAATATGAGTGTAACGAAAGTTGTTGTATGGATACAGGGTGCTTATGTCTGGAGCTGCAAAAACCTCATTTCAGAGGTATTTTGTAGAATCTTCCGAGTATTTTGTTTATTCGATCCTCTCTCAAAAGGACCGGATTATACACTTGTTTGATTCGTTTAATCAGGTTGTACTCTCGTTATCAGACAAAGACTTCACTTGTACCGGTTGCCGAAGCTATTGTTATGAAATTCTATTGTAGATATACTTAATATGTAGGGAACTTATGCAGCTATTGATTCTCGTATCTAGTCACAAACTAACGAATCGAGAAGTCGAAGAAAGTTTCCAGAATTTGATAGCCGTGTGATACGTTAATGATATATCTTATGGTTGAATGTAGATCAACGATGCAAAGAAGGAGTTGCAGGAGTTGCTGCATGATGAAACGTATGATTTCCTTCTCTACTTGTAGTTCATCCCTGCGGGATATCCAGAGATGAACTAGTCTCGAATCCTGGTGATGTCGTTACTGGGCAAGTTTTAGTTGTCGTTTCTCTTTCTGTAAAGTTGACGATTGAAACTCCTACGTTGGACCTTCTTTGCTTTGGTGAAAAACTGTTTTTTGGGGGTTCTCGGGCTGCAGAATGTATTCTACAAAAGGGAAGCTTTTGGAGCACAACCTGGACCCAGAGGTGCGGGATGCTCTGCATGCGTTAAAACAGCAATTGAAAACCCAATAACTTTTGCTCGAGAGGAGGTATAACCTCAATGTTGTGTATACTTGTTTGATGAGTGCATGATGCATCCTGAGTAAGCCACTTATTTGAATTTATGAGCTCAGACCATCCTCATCCTACGTTTCTTTGAATCCGGAAGGCATCTGATGCTTTTCATTAGTATTTCAAGAGTTGTGTGTTTTTAACAAACTTTCCAGGATGTTGTCTGTGTATCAACTTGAATCGATTAGACAGACCTAGAATCTGACTATTCTTCACAAGCCATGTAGTTTTTATTTTTTTTTCATTTTCACTTTTCCTATCTTCTGTTGTTTATCGCAACACCCTGCAACAAATATTTTTATCTACGGCTGGTGACTTCAGCTCTTTGAGAAATGCAGAAATGGTTACAGGTACTTCATCATTTGGGAGGTAGTTGTACTTGAAGCAAATGAGTGCATTCGAGAAGTTAGGAGACAAATCCGATCAGTTCTTTATAAGAACAATCATAGAGATTCTTAGAATGCATGACAAAACCAGGGTACCTGCTTTGGAGTAAGCGCGATCATTTTTGCCTTCTCCTCATTCAAGGTTGAGATCTGAATCCCCCCCCTGCTTACGAAGCTCCTGAAGCACTTGATTAGGTCAAATGGAAGTGAACATTTCTGAAGATGTGTGGGACATTGTATGGAACGCTCACAAGAAGGAACGTCTGAGAGGCTAACGGAGTTGCTAAGGCCTTTCAGGATTTCGGCAGAGTGCAGTATGTTTGATAACTAGAATAGTTTCAGTGGAGTTTTCCCATCTCATTAAGTGCACTAGCTATTTGGGCGTAGAGATATTGTATCATTCGGTCACAATTCGAAGACTTAGAAACATTTTCCAGTGACAGACTAGCAAGGACACTAGTAATTTTCAAATTTAGTATGTGTGAGTATGTCAAGTATGCCAACATTATGATGAGTATTCTATTCAATTGAAGAGCCTAATGAAATTGAAGCTAACATCACAAATAATGTGCTACATTAATCAATGCAGTTTGCTCAATATACAAGTCAAAACCACACTGATGTATGACAAAGGATTGTGACCTTTGCTATGCCCTTCACGAACTCTTCCAACAGGTAGCACTCGTAGATGTGTCATGCATTACAAACGACTTCCCATCCTGGGGTGTGAGGCTACGCGTGATTACAAATTTAAATTGAACCTGAAATCCTTGGCTGAATGAGTCCCTCATCTAATGCGAGAGGCAGTTGTAATGTAACGGCCTTTTTCTAAGTCATAAATGGTGGTAACTTGAGGCCTTCGCCACCGCGCAATAAACCAGATTACCAATATTCCTACGCTCAACAACACCAGTAGTGACAAAACCTTGACATATCCTGAACTGAATAGCCATACATGTGATACTTGTTCCTCGTCTTCACTAAGTTTCACAATCAGTGCTCCGAGAGCCCAGTCCAGTGGCACGTCGTGTACCTTATTGGTAAATCTAACTCTGCACATTAAAGATGTCGGATTAGAAGATAGTGACAGTTCTACACCCAAGAATTGTGACGATAGCGAAATGATTTTACTTGTTTATTTATTCATTTATTGTTATGTAAACCGCAGGTGTCCAGAAGCAACTAACACCTCTTTCACATCAGCAATAGAAAATACTAAATTGAGGATAAGAAGTAATTGTTCACCGTGTATATGAGACTAATATCTTAAATTCTAGAGTACAGCATTAACGGTTACATATGCAGATAAAGCAATGCAATGAAGGAAGAGACTACGGTTTCGAATAAACGAAAAGATGCTAATAACACTAGGATTCACATGGAAATATACTGAGGGTTTTCATGTTCAACATACCGATCATCATGCATACTAATGCCGAGACTATCGTGCATTAGAGCAACAATATACGCTGTGGAAAAACAATACTTTAAAAGATCCTTCTCCTCAACTTCCTTGTGTTTTACTCGAAGATTCGCCCAATTCTCTCCGCAGTAATGTTCACCAGCATCCATAAGGTTGGCCAGTGACGTTTTTGCTGGCAACTTGAAAAACTAGTACAAGCATATGCAGAATCCAACTTGAACTTAGCTGCTAATCTAAGGCCATCAACATGGAAAACTAGAAAATTCATTTTTTCTCTTTCTCATAAAAGTTTTCATTTGATGAGAATACACTCCCAAGGATGGTACAATGAAATGGATGCAATTCTTAAGACATAGGTTAGGGCTGGCGCATAGCAGACCTCGGAAGTGTAAAAAAAGTTTTCGGTTGCAAAAAAAGTCCCTTGAAGCTCTGGTATGTACGCATTCCCAATTGCACACTTCGGGTACAAACATGCGTCTGCAATCAACATCCCATACAATAAGGTAAATGCCACTGAAAAGACAGACTACAGAAAGAAAAGATTGTACTTCTTTCAGCACGGAACATTCAAACTTGAAGCCAGAGAAGGCAAATTACCATGTCCATGCTGAAGAAGGGAATAGGCAGCTGTACGACATTCGGAAAAGTTCCCTCCAGAAACGACTCTGGAGACTGATGAATGAGTAGCAGTCGAGACGGTGGCAGAATGCCGAGCATTCTCCTCCAAACTTCTCTTATAGCCCCGTGGCGTGCATGGATCTATCGCAACTCCCTCTTTTAATCCCGGCCTTGAAGCTGCCAATTGTTGTAATCAGCAAATTTTATTTCCTCTAATAGAAAGAAGACAAGCATCCATGTTTTGCAAACGAGAACAATTCAGCCCGATCAACAGCTAAAACAAGGACTACCAGTGGGCAAGGTGTGAATACATGCTCAAGCTCGTGAAGTAGCAAGCCAATATGGTCGACTGCAAAATACTCAGAATTCCTTCAGATGATACAAGTAAACCAGTGAAAGTCCCTTTTATAGGCTGTAAACAATATGCAGAGACATGGCAGAAAGAAGCTTACTTGCAACAGCACCTCCAGCTGTAATCAACTCCAGCAAGCTGTCCCAAGCCGCTTCCTGCACAAAATCAACTCTAAATCATTGCGGATTGAGCGAGCTACAAAAAGGAAGATAATACCAAAGTTAGAAGACAGTTTGATAGTGCGCCCGTCGCAAAACTAAGAATTTGCCTAACAAGTTGTAAAATTCTCTTAAAAAAGATGGAGAAGAAAAGATAGTGATACTTGTAATACGGTGGACATGTACATGTAAGCTGAAAGTGATGAAATCAAACCTGGCCAAAATTCAGGAAACTGTATGTGTACAGCGAATATGATCTACCCCCAAGCTCCAAGTTATGCCTGTATGCAGGCGGCGGGGGCTCCTTTGGAATAAAAGTCACCTGTTCCATGGAACCCAAGTAACAAAACATATTGCACATTACATGTTTGTCAATCAAGTGAGCAAAATGCATAATATGCACTTACATTTCTGCCAGGAGTCTGAATACTGCAAACATAATTGAGGGACTTGGTACCTGGGCAGAGGCACCGCCAAGTTCTACGATTCCAGTTGTTTGACGAGGATCTCCCTGAAGAGAGTCTAGTGCGTAATTAGCTGAGACCCAAGCATACACCCCCTCGTCCGTCCCTACACACGGCAACATTCCTCGTCAGATGCATATAATTGGTAATCAGTGAACCAAGTACAAAACAAGGCATCATCGCATGACATGTCCATCACTACGGTGGCCACCACATTTGAACCATGTAAAGGAGTAGCTTTTGAAGCTTCATTTCGGTTGAAGTGTGCGTGCACGAAAAATAATACTAATAATAAAAGAAATAAAAAAAAAATCGAAGTATTAACATGACGAGCTACATTTCAGCATCAGATTTCCGTCTTTGCGAGAAAAGAAGTACAGTGGGTAGGAACCCACCGCTAATGACCGATGCCCACTCATCCCGAAATAGAAATCCTGAAGCCCGTAACACATTTCTACACGAATCTAGTACAGCTTCTTGAATCTTCTTGTCCAACCTCCTCAAGCCAGCAGTTGCCATTAGATATACCCTCGTCTGAGACCTCTCCTTCGCAGGCACTTTCGTTTTAGCAAATTCAAGTTGCTCTTTCAGAGAACTCCCCGCCAAGTTAGGTGAGTCTGCAAAATTTCCAGGTGAGGCGGGGTTTGAGTTTCTCTTATCTAAACAGAAGTACAATACCCAGAAGCTCACCGTTGTTCCTCATCCTTCGCTACAGAGATGGCTCCACAGGAACTTGTTCATAATAACCCTATTTGCCCACACCTTCAACCTTCCCACTGAGGTGCAACATAATCATATCATAAGAATGTTCATCGGCATTTTAATTTTCCAATATAAAGTATTCGGATGTCGCAACAAAGGCGAAACAATCAACCAACCTGCAAAAGACGATAGTCCTGGCGTTCGTTTGAGGGACAGCGACTCTAAACCGATGAGATCTACTTCAGGTATCAGTCCTTGCTTGTATCGAAAGACATGAATTCTTGAGCCTGAGCTACCGGCATCAATAACAATGCCATAGCTTCTTTTGTTGCCGCCTGTGGCCGCTTTCCCAGAAAATTGAACCCCTCGTGCAAGGGAGATCATGTACAAGAACACGAAAAAGAAAGATAGAAGCATAAGAAGAACCCAGGCGCTCCGCTTGCAAACTAGAGATGGCGATCTGCTGGCGTTTTGGTAATGCTGGGTCTGGTACCGCATGGGCAACTGTGTCTTGTGAGGAGGGGGGAACGTCGACGTAGACCTCGTCTGAAGCTTGGGTAAGTCCATTTTGTCGTTGGTATTTGCCGTGGAGCTATTCCCAGTGTTTGTGGTCGACCTTCGCATAAATCCCCCTAGTCCCCCGCCATTTCCGACCATTCTCTTACATTTTCAATTCGCACAACGTCATATCTCAAAACCCCCCCACCACTACTCTCACCCCAATAACCTTCCAACACCCAGAATTTATCTCTTCTCACTCAACCACCTAATGGACTTCGCTCCAAAACTCTACATCATATCAGAAACGTCTTGATCCATCCCCCACTACCCAAAACTCATCCAGCAATCATTGATCCAACTCGCATGCACGCTCGCCTCCCCAAGCTCGTGTCTTGCACCTCCTCCTCCTAAACACCACGCCTCATCAACAACACCCACAACAACAACAAACTCCACCAGCTTCCCAACGCTAACCCCAATTCCACACTCCACAAACCTCGCAAGCTCTCACTCAAAAATCCCTCACAACCTAAACCGAAACCCAATCAGCCGCCACAAAGTCCCAGCTCCAATGCACACACTCAACAAATCTCAATAAGAACTGCTGCCCATCGTCCCAAACTCACAACCACCCACATTGGAACTTACACTCGCTTCCACATAGAGAGCGAGCAAGCGACCTAGTAACGGAACACAGTTGAAAAAGCCTACAACAAAGCAAAGGTGGGTAACATTATTGAGAAGAAGAAGAGGAAGGAAGCCACACACAGCAAAAACAAAAAAAAAAAAAAAAAAAAAAAAAAACAGAAGAAGAGGGGAACAGAAGGGGAGCGAAGGAGTGGGAGGCAAATCGTTAGCGAAGACTCGGTGTTGAGGTGGAGAAAGCATCGCAGCACAGCCTTCAATCATCATCGGAGGAGCAGCAGTCTGGCCCAACGCCGACGACGACGACGACGACGATGTATTTCGCGTCCGACAGAACGTCCACCGGGCCACCTCCGTTCCCCCCGCCTTTTCGTTCGTGCTTGCCCCGGTGCATCATGTGCTGCATGCACAGCCCCCCGATTAAAGGGGCTTGGAGGAATTGACTATGTGCTCGCCTTTGGATTAATCTATTCATTCATCCGTTTCAAACTCATTCTGTAGTTTCTCCCCTTCTTTGGTTAGGTAGAGTAATAATATTATTATAGAATCGTGATATAATATAGTTTGAACGCGATTCGAGCATGAATATTAAAAGTAGCATTGTTGTTTAACTTGTTTGTACAGTCGTGACATGTTTCGATGTAATTACTGGAGATTGGTGGAAGCATACTTTTATTTGCAACTATAATATCTTTTAAAGGATTATGGGGGATTAGTCCAAATAGTGCGAATTCGGATTAGTAGTGAAAGGACCTATTTCTACTAATTTCAAAGGGGAACAACTGAGTCTCCCAAAGCCGCGCTCTAGGCACCCGTCCCATTACCGTGAAACAAAGAAGCACGTATTCAGACCTTCCTGAAGATTCGTAGGAACTTCAAGCGATTAAACGAATGAAAATAAAAATCATCCATAAGCAGTAAAATCATCCAGAAGGATGAATAGAAGCGGCAGGCGGTGGCAGCCCCACCACCACCATCAGCCCTAACTCATCAGTAAGACAGGGGGGAAGTGGGGTGCTTGTGCTGGCCACAATTCCGCAACAATCTGCACTTTCGCACACTGCCCTTGCATTGCATTGCATTGCAGTCTTGCGCTGCTTCATCACCCACCTCGCGGAATTTGTTGTTTGCAATTCATCTTGCTGCTGACGCTGTTGTTGTTGTTGTTGTTGTTGTTGTTGTCGTTTTTGTAGCAATGGCCATGACTGCTCGCTTCGCCGGGCGCTTCTTGCGCTACTCTACCCCTCTGGCTCAACAGCCATGGCAGAGATCTTTCTCTGCCGCTGTGCCTCAGGAGCCTCAACAGCCTCAACAGCCTTCCCATCAATTTTCTCGTACGTATTTGCACTTTGTCGCTTGGTTCTCTCGATTTCTTACTTGGCTTTTTCGGATTGCCCAATTTTCCTCGTATGGTGTCGAGAGTTTCTGTTACAGGTTGTCTTTGATTTGATGTTTCGAAGATTTTGGGTATGTGGAGATCGGAATTGAATTCCGACTGTTAAGATGAGTTCTTTCATTTCTGGGTCCTTGATTTTGGTGAGATTCGTTTTTTTGTTTTGCTTCCCCGTTGTTGCTATGATTTTGATATCGATTCCTCTTTTTGGCCTGTACTTGTGCAGCTACTGGAGCCGATCCTGAGAAGACTGCAGAGACTAAGGACTCTAAAGATTGGAGTGCAGGTAATTGCTGGATGCCTTGTTTTCCCGTAATTTGAAGTTTTCGGCTGCATTCTTTGGTGTTTTTGATGATATTGTTTGTTTTTAGAACTTGCGGCATCATTGCTTCTCTGAATTGTTTGAGTTGCAGAAGTTGATCCTACTTTTGTCTTTTTTCTTCTTTGGGAATGCTCAGTTTTGGACCATAGCGTCAATACGCTGTTTCTGTCGGAGATGGCTAGAGGCATGGGTTTGGCTCTGAAGTATTTTTTCGAGAAGAAAGTCACAGTATGTTTCCATTCACACAGCCCTAGAAATCGAGTTCTAGGATAGAGTTACGCTTCAGTAGTATAATACTTTCTAGGGTAATCTTGTGCACTGCACAAAACAAGTTTGAGAAGTGAAATTGTTGTGCATTTGAATTTTCTGTCAGCATGCTGCCCTTTCCCATTCAGTAATTGAATGGACCGTTTGCAGATCAATTATCCCTTCGAGAAGGGTCCTTTGAGTCCCCGTTTCAGAGGGGAGCATGCCCTTCGTCGGTATCCCACTGGTGAAGAGCGATGTATCGCTTGCAAGCTTTGTGAGGCGGTGGGTACTCTTTTCTAATCCACTTTCTAGCCATCGAAACATCATCAGGAATTTGTGGATATTTTTTCTGTGTTTTCATTCACTTGTTTGCGCATGACAAAGCAAATCTACGCGCGTACACCAAGGACTTCTGGCAGGTATCAGTGAGATTTATTCATTGATCATTGTGAAATCCAAACATCAACATTTTTGTCTAAATGTGGGTGGGTTCTCCTGTTTTGTGACTTGTACAGGTGTGTCCTGCTCAAGCTATAACCATTGAAGCAGAGGAACGTGAAGATGGTAGTCGTCGAACCACCAGGTGGGACAGTGCGAAGAACTTTCGTTCTTAGTATTCATGTTGAGCTGGCAATTTGTTCTACTTTTGGATAATTATATTAACAATGTGGTTTAGGAATCTCAGAAGAATGTCTCTTATAATTCGTTGCTTACGTGTAAACCTACATTTCAGTAAGTGCATGGTTGTACCTATCGTATGTTTCGAATCTATTCTTCTATTCTGGTGTAGGGGTTTTGAGAATTCTAAAATCACGCCTATTTTTTGTGTATTTTCGCAGATATGATATAGACATGACGAAATGCATCTACTGTGGCTTCTGCCAAGAAGCTTGCCCTGTGGACGCTATTGTAGAAGGTCCTAATTTCGAGTTTACCACCGAGACTCATGAGGTGAGCATCACTAAACACTATTCTACCCCTTTTTTTTAGTCGTGGTTCAGTCAATTTTGAGTTTGGCTGATGACATGGTTCTCGTGTATGAACAGATTTTTTAGATATTACATTCTTGGTGCTGCTCAGTATGGTGACTGTCGCTCGGTGTCTTATCATCTACATGTGTGTAGCTTTTCTTTAAGTGGCGTTATTTCGTTATGTCTCTTTCTATTGAATTTCTGTTAAATGGTTTACAGGAATTGTTGTACGACAAGGAGAAGCTTCTCGAAAATGGTGACCGTTGGGAAACAGAAATAGCTGAGAACCTTCGATCTGAAAGTTTATACCGCTGAGCGACTTTGTGGTGACGTTGTATTTCTTAGAGGCCAATTTCTAATTACATCCTGAATAAAGTGCTTGGTGGCACTCATCTTAAGTAATTTTGTACAGCAATGAACCTCTGAGCAACTTGTTTTGCTTTGGTGGTAGTGTAGGTCATTCGAAATTTTACCCCTCAACTTTGGAGAACATGTCAGTGTGCTATCCAGCAGGCACTGCTTCTCTCGTGTGTTGCTAGTTCTTGATGTAGCGGATTTAGATATGGCTGCCAGTGAGGTCAACTTGGTGACACTTGAGAACAGTTACCAAAACATATATCATTGAAGGAACAGACCCCCAATTCTAATGATCTCACACCCATACTGCTACAAAATTTCGTGTATTTGTCTATTTTTTATTTTATTTTATTTTACTGTGCCAGCTTCTTGATGCTGAGAGTGGCATTTTAAAGAACTCTCTCAAGATCAATGTAACCATGAACTTCCGCTCGGCTGGTAAGAATTGAGAAATGTTAAAAATATAGTGAATAGCTATGGAAAAATTAATGTGTGTGTTCTACTTACAACTTCAGAGCTTTATTTTATCCCGTGATTGTTAACGTTCAACCTCTTTGTAAAGAATGCGCGTTGGATGGTTTGGACCTAGACTGGTAGTGGATTTCAATCATCGGATGAGCCAGAGTAGTCCCTGCAGTCCGGAGGGGACAGCTCTCCTTCAGTTGGTTCCCGTTGGACCGTGCGAGTTTCCCCGAGACTAGCAATTTTTTTTTGAATTTTAAAATCATATATAATACTTTGACACTTTAAAACCAGCTTCTTTCTTGACGTCTGTGCAGGTGCTGTTGTTCAAGTCTATCTCTCCGTTCCAGTCGCTCTTCTTCACTCCCTTTAGTTTGGAGGGGCATTCTTCTTCAAAGCCCTGTCGGAATGCTGTCTTCTCAACTTGTTCCTCATTTTTGCTTGTTATTCACAGCTTGGTCGTCTGGTTTTTCCTTGCAATGGTTGTGTGGACTATGTTCGCCGTCTTCTATCCTAGTTTTGCCTCGTAATCGCTGTCGTCATTTAACCCGTCATTCGCAACTGAGTCTTATTAATTTCTCTTGCAATAGCTGCGCTGCTTGTGTACGCCCTCTTCAATCCAATTCTTTACAACTGCGTTGTCTTTGTCTCCTTGTTGCGTCGTTGACGCTGTCATCATTTTTCTGAGTGTTTTTTGTAACTTGACCATCTTGTTTGCGGAATGGTCGACTGAATGCCCTTTGATTCATTTTTTCCTTCGCTCTTGATGTCAGTGTATTCTTGCTGTCTTAACTGGGTACTTGAAGTGGCGGAGTCACCATGAGAATCCTATCAACTCTAATCTTCACTACTTTACAAATGATAATCCTTGAGTGGAATTTATTCTTAGCCACAAAGCCTAGAGGAACTTTATGCATTCATAAATTATTGTTCTATGCAATGTGTAATCATAGCTCTTAATAAGAAGACAATAATTGCATAGTTTATAAGTATGTTTGTTAATTTAAAATAGTTAGAGGATGTTTTAGAACAAAATTTATGGTTTGTATTGTAACAATTATAAAGACATGACTATTTTATTGTGAATTTTTGATCTTACATGTATAAAAGAAATATTCTAAATATTGGTTTTACAAAATTTTACTAAATTAAGAAGAAGTTACAAGTAAATTATATTCACAATTTATCATCTATAGAATGTAGTGCTTTTGATCTCCTATCTCTACCTAGTGTACAAAAGAAAAGGATGGGCATCAAACATAGACTAGGATTTTTTTTTTTGTTGAATTACACTTTATTCTTTAATAAATTCAAGTATTAGAAAAATTGGTTATGATAGAGAAGATTCTAGTCTAAACATACATGGTATTGGGATTGAATCCCGAGAGATGTGTTTTTAAATTTGCAAAGTGCACAACAATTCTCTTCCATAGAAAACACTTCTCTTATCACTCCACAATACTTTTTTTTTGAAATTTTCTCATTCTAAAAAAATTCAAATTTTTCTAGCCTAAAAAAGTTATGATTAGTGTTGAATGAACATTGGTTTTAGAAAATCATTGCTTGTAAAGTTTGGAGGGAATGCAATAGTAGCACAAAAGCCTCTAAACCACTAGATACAATTCCTACCTCATTGCTTTGTTACATATGAAAATTTGTTGATAGGTAAGCATAATAATCACTTAAAAGAAGTCTCAAAATACCTCACAACAATGTAAAACTTATGCAATTGAATTAACCTTATTTTTTACATAAAAACTCATAAGTTTAATCAAAAGATTTTCTAAGTTTGAACTATAATACTTTCTATTAGAAGGCTACAAAAACAATAATTCTTTTCATAATACTATCATTGATACAAAAGTTATAATTTTTTTGGTTGTATTAATCACTTTATTCTTATTAATTGCTTTTAAAGTTGTATTTTTCTTATATGTATGTAATTTTTTTTGTAATGAAATAGATAAGATACAAGTTAACTTTAAAGTTTTAATAGTTTTTATATTAGATTTTTGGTAAATATATATTTTCTTGATTTATTAATATTTTAAATATATATAAAATATATAATTACTTTTTTGAAATAGTAATTTTTTATTAGTTTTTAATTATTTGTCATTATTTATTTATATTTTTTTAATTATAATTTTTAAGTTTCATAATACTATTTGAATTACTTATTATTAATAATTATTATAATATTATATTTAAAATTTTGTCATATAAAATAGTTTTTATAGAAATCATGTTAATTTATGTACTAAATAAAATTTATTGATTGGTCATAGTTTGACATGTTTTTAAATTTAAAATTTCTTCAATATTTTTGTTACTTATTAATCTAATTATGATATATAAATGTACCTTGTTTAATTTATACCCCTTAATCAATATTCTTTGCTTGATAATATTTGCTCAAACAAATTTCATTTCTAAGTCATAAACCTATAATCTTGTTTTTTGCAAAATTAATAAAAAAAAAGATGAAAATTTTATAATTTAAGTGCTAATTTCTTTTGCAACAAATATGTGAATGTGGGTCTGACAAGCATAGACATCATTTGTTTGTGCATTTAGGATTTAGAATTTATTGTTTTCATGTTTATGTAAACGTTATCTTATCATGGTGATCAACAAAACCTAACTCTTGTTCTATTGAAAACTCAAATTGCAACAACAAGAGTTCATACGGACTTGCTTGGTTTTGCTCTGATCCATAAAGCATATCCTCTCTGCCAATAATCCGCTTGCACAAATTAGAAAGAAACTTACTCCTACTTCTATTTCTGCTTACCATCAAATAAACATCATAAAATTCTTTGTATGTAATTTTTGCATAGCATTTCTTTAGGTGGCTCCATGTATGGAAATCCAAAGATATTCCATTAAATCAATATTCTTTTTCATTATACATAGATAGATACATGATGTTATAAATATAAACAATAAATATTTCAAATACTATAAAATAATAGATTTCAAAATTATATATATTTTTTATATATAAATCAAAATAATAAAACACTTTGAAACTTAAATTTATATGTTATGTGCCATACAGATAATAAAAACTCTTGTTATATCTTGTTTGGTTTTATGGTTCCTCAAAGAATTTAAACATAAATGAGATATAATAATTATTATATTAAATCTATAATAAAACAGATGTTTTTTTATTTTTTACTAACAAATTCAGTAATTTTGGTTGAAGATATCTTGATTAAAGTAGTAAATGCTAAACAATCAACTATATTACTATTAAATATAAAATTTGAGCCACTTTGGTATGGCAGTTTTTGTTCCTACAATGGGGTATACTCACTTATTTTGGACCTGAAAGCATGTGAATTTTGATGCCTACTTCCAGGATATAATATTTTGTCGCTTATCCACGTAAAACAACAAAATGCAAATTGTAAAAACCCCGTAGTAGTAAATATTCGAATGAGTAAAATACTTCCATTACAACTTTAGGAATATCAACACAAAATTAGTAACCATACCAATTAACTCAAATTTTAAGCTTAAATCAACAATTCGAGCATTGGAATTAGTGAAATTGTGGCGAAAAGTAAATCACACCACACTTGCATATCAGATCGACTGTCAGATAAAGTTTACTGTAATAGTTGTTTTTAGCTATTGAGATTGAAGCAATGCTTTCAAATTCGCTGACTACACCAATCATTTTATCATACCAGAAGTGAAGGGAACACACGATAATAGGATACCATACAGCATGAGAGGCCATGAATTACACTTGATCAGTTCGGCTATTATTCAGGATACATTACTTCGTCACTAAACTACAAAGGTTTCATCTAGTTCAGAATATCCAGCGAATTAAGATGTTTCTCAGTGCAGACGGCCCCAATTTAAAAACCGTGAAAGATACGACAAGATTAATTCAGACTTCAAAACTAATAATCAACGGAGCAATCAATGGAAACAACTACATCTTCACAGCTAAGATATCATAAAACATGAATTTTTCGATGTATCAATTCCTCAAAATCAACAAAACATCCACTCAACAAAATCTGAAGTTGGAGTGATATTACTGTACACAGGGTTCTTCTTTAGCTACCAGTATCTATAGACCTTCACGAGAAAGTCTTCAAACTATGAGCCAAGGAGAAAAAAGCGTTCTGCTTCAGAGCTGTAAAATAGAACATAATAAGAATCCCGCCATGATAAATACCAGTAGGTGTTTCTGATGCAAAAAGCACTTAAGACCAGTGCTGATCAGTTGAGGGTAAAGCACCGTCCAAAAGGTAAAACCGGGTCTACCTTCGCATGAAATAGCTACCAGATCTCAATGCCAATTTGTGAATAGGCTTTCACAGCCGTAGGCATTGTCCCAATTCATTCGTTCAAAGCGGGCTGCTAGACACTGACAACAGGCCTCTCCCCTGCACAATGAGGTAAGAGAAAACACAGCGATTCGCCATTTCCAATCTAGCCTGGACCTGCCTCAAGCTCTCCGCCTACGTGTCCAACATCATATTCGTGTGCTGGCAACAACTTTCGCTTGTGGTGCTTTTTAACAAAGCTCTTCCAAATTGCCTCGACATCTCCAGTTGTCACAAACTCTTTGCCAGCACCTTCTGAGTACCATCCATCATATGAGAACTTATCACCTTCCCGGTTGCGGCGGGACATGAACAAAGCGAAGTACGTATTCTCAAGGTCCAGCAATGTGAGGTCTGTGAGCTTGTCGAATGCATACTTCTTTCTCCTTTGCCATGCCTGCAAGTAACATGATACGTGTGTAAGAGATATAGCATGTCCTACAAAAGTAGAGAGTGGTCAACATATTGAATCTTAATCGGGGAAGATTCTAAGTAGCTTGAAATCAATGCATGTACCTTGTCTCCAAGGCGACCCTCTCTTTTCGCCTTTTCCTTAAGCATAGCCCATCGTTGGGCAACTCGAGCTTTAGTCTGGTCTCGCAAGTAGGCACCACAGTGAGTGCATTGAAGCTTGGCAGAGGGGTTTTTGCTGTGGCCACATTTCACACATCTAGTATGTCCCCTAGAAGCTTTTCCATCGTCTATGCATGGAGTGCTTCCAGCAACATCTTCTTCACTTTCCCCTTCTGGAATACTTCCGTCTTTAGACAATTGCAATCCTGGAAACGAGTTGACGATATTAGTATTCCGAAATTTCTCCTAAACAAAAGAGCCTACTACAATTGCCATTCAACATTTGATACAGGCTTCACACATAGACCTTGCTCCGCCTATGACAGAATAAAAAGGTACCTTGTCCAGATGAGCCTTGGAGAAATCCAACAAGGTCACCAACCTCATGAGATTGATGTTGAGGTTGATGCGCTGGGTTGTGCTGCGGCGCTTGCATGGAATCTGACCCCAGATAGAAGACAAATAAGAGCTCAAGCGATACTTGTAAACCCGAACTTACATTTACGACCATATAACTCGTAAAATAAATTCCTTCATAATTCTGAGAATTAGATACAGTCTTAAAAATCTCGAATGCACAGGATTGTAAATACCTAAGCGCAGGTGCAGATTTACATAAAATCCTTAACATATAGAACTTACCAACATGAGATGATGACGGCTCCACAGTTTCAAGACCTCCTTGCTCAGAAACGATCAAAGGGATCCCTCGAAAATCTCTTTTCAATCCTTTAGGCAAGGGCTTCTCTTTTGTAGCGTTAATGTTCAAATTTGCAACTGGCCGCACCTCTGCAAAGTGGGAAAAATCAATTCACCAAAAACCAAAAAAAATTGCCGAAGTAGTCCTAGAAAAAGCTTCATTACCATTCATCCTCCTTGATAGCAGAACAAGATAATAATTAATAAACATCACCAAGAAGTAGCTTCAAAACTTCATAGCTTTCTAACTGCTGTCACAATAAAAATAGATGTCTAGGCTTCTAAAACCAATAATGCAAGGAAGGGTTTGACACTCACCCTCCTGAACGTAAGGCAAGTTTGCGCTACCTCCCGGGTTAGCCCCCCAATTCTGCATTGGCATCATCACAGGTGGTTCCTCCGCTGCTCCCGCTAATGGGGCCGCATCTGTGAACATAGGATGCCGATAGAATAAGCGACGTATTAACTATTTTTCAACAAACAAATACACTTGCGTGTCTTTAGAAAACATATTGCATCTAACTCGACCTTTAATGGTATATCATCTGTATGTTACACAGCTTACCATTCTGCAATAAAACAATGCCATGCCAACACAAACACATTCCATTCATTCCATGAGTACTCTGCTCGGTCTACCACTCTTAACACTAACAGTAAAAAAATAGGATCTGTAGCAACTGATCCAAGAAATCTAAAAAGCCTGAAGAAAGAGAATAAACCTCAAGACTAACCAGAAACTCTCTAACTTGACGAACGCATTGTTTTCAACGAAATAAGGATTTCCATGCACGAACATACTAAGCAATTCAAGAATGCCAGAAAACTGCAAATAACCATTTTTTGCCTTCGTGAGCGGGAAAACATGAAACGCTGACATAATTTGTCTATACCTGGAAACTATCTATAAGAGTAAGAAAAAAATCAACTCAAGGAAGAGAAAAAGACCTTGAGGCACGAGCGAGAGAGTGTAAGTGCCCCCCGCAACGAAAGTGTCCATGCTTAGGCCGTCGTCGTCGGCTTCCATAATGCTACCGTCTCCCATAATAGCCACAGAGGATTTGAAGACTGCAAGCACGTTGTTCACTCTGACACGGTTCTTCTCAGGTCCGAAGAGATTCAACTTGAAGGATCGAGACTTGTCATTTTGATTTATGAAAGTGACTTTAGCCGCCATGGTCTGTCAGCCTCCACAAGAACTCGCCTACAATCAGCACTGCAATATTAACCCTAAGCTTCAAAAGCTTGTGATCCAGGCTTGCGCAAACCCAGGAGTTTCTTTGTAGAGAAGGCTTAGACGCTACCCGCAAAGCAAACTCCTCCCTGTGCAGTACATTACTGCAGGAAAAACCCATCCCTACCAAAACTTGACTGATACCTAGCGACGAAGTCTCACACGACACACGCTGCTGCCGGCGACACGGCGCAGGAGGAAGCCTAATTGTGAAAACCTCCAGGCGAAGCTCAAAAGTCACCGAAAACTTCGAGCTACACAGAAACTCAACAACACCCACTAATTTCTACCAAAAAACACACCCCTGGCACTTCCTTTGTCACTAATTCAAACGCCATGATAACTAACAGACCATCGTTTTCACGACTAAATGCCAATCTTCGTCCCCGACCCCTAACCCCAGCTCATTCCACAAACCCAAAAACACCAGCGACATACAAATACACAAATGCTACTCTTAAAAACCCCAAAGAATAAAAACCACAACACGAGGGTTAGGCAATTGCAGGGGAGTGTCTGATGATACCATATACTGGGAGATGATACTTACCAGATAGATAGAGATGAGAACAGGGAAGAGAGGAAGAAAAACTAAGAAACGAAGAAACAAAGAACCAGACTTGGAAACGAAGATTCTAGAATGAAGAGATAGAGCAGAATCAGGGAGATTGAGGAGGCTTGTGCAGCTCTGAAATCATCGCATGGCGATGGATATGTGGGTGGGTCCAAAACGAAGATATCGAAAATGAGGAAGAATAGGGCAGCGAAGCTCGCCGCCGCGAACAAATTGTCTTGCCAGGATTCTACCCATTGCCTTTGGAGCCTCGAACTTAACCCACAAAATCCTAGAGCATACTTACATCTTTATAACTTATTCTTGGTTGGCTGGGTGGGCTGGCTTTTGTCTAATGTCTCCACGTACAGTTCTGTTGCAATGTTAGCCTCTGCTGAAATCCTGCGGTCACACCCCCCGTTTCCCCAAATTTCCTGCACTCTCAGGTGTACATCGATTAGTCTGTCTTCCCGCGTGTAGATGTGTCACGGCGACTTCTTCATCCTCTGCCAAAATCTGCACACGCCTTGCCTCCCTAACACAAGGAATCCTTGCTTGTTTTCTTCGAGTTCCTTTGAAGATCTTGGAATTTGATCCCACTTGCCACCTTTTTCCTTCGAAACTTATTTTTATACTTGATATTTTTATCGTCCATAGAGGTAACCCTTTTAAAATTTTGTTTCTCGATTTTCTAATTTTGTTCTACATTGTTCTTGTAGGGTTTTGTATATAATACATTTTCGGCTCTTGAGTTGTACTGGCAAGGAAATGAAGACGAAGTATACGCTTTATCTCTGCGGTAACACTTTGTATTCTTGAAATTTCATTGAGAAGCAGTCGATGGAAGATTTTAAAAGGGCAACCATCTCGAGGGGTATGATCCTTAGATAATACGAAAACAAGATCCCTCTTGTCCTTATGATTCAATGGAACTGTACATTGGGAAGATGCCAGACCTAGCTTGATGGCCACGTCATATGATGAAGGTGTAAATGCTGATGCTCAGAGGTTGACGACAAGTGATTTGTGACACCGGTCGGTCGGCGATTGAAAATATGGTGACCAAACATTCAACTGGTGGTGTGAAATGAAACCTTACAATTGGCCAGTGATTCTGACAAGAGAATGTCCTCAGCGAAAGCATTGACCCTATTGTTCTCATTCGTAAGCTCACATGACATCAAACACAAACATAACAACGCAATTGCACCCTTGGGCTGGAAAAAAGACCAACATATACTACAATTAGAAAGTTGCATAAATTCAGAAAATTTCAACAATGTTCTACGCACTGGATGCCTTGAACCTGCGGGATGCGAGTGAACCCTTATTGAAAACTGGGTGAAAAGTCATCCCTGTCAATTTAGGGTGCGCTACTGATCACAAAGGGGCTACAAGACGATGTTCAGGTTGAACAGTTTGCATTCCAAATTACACACAATATCTTTACACCTAACATTCAAGCGCACTTGGCTTGACAATTGATGGAGTTTTGAGAAGCAAGGAGGGAAATACTTAAGGAGGGAGTTGAAGTACTGGCAGGTGAGGAAGAAACCCATCGGTCTTTCACGAAACCTAAGGCTAAGAAAAACGTGTTAAGGCTTCACAACTTCACCGGCCATGCATGCTGTAAGTATCCTAAAAAGTCCCAAAGCATATTAATGGCAACGTAAATTCATCGAAAAATCATCGAACAAATCCAGGTAACACTTGAACTACCTTCGACCCTTGGAACATAGAACCTGCACAGAACATAAACTCCTCAATCAATTTCCAACAAACGTGATCTCCAATATACAAGCACCCGAATGTTAAGAACAAATCCAGGAGAGGTTACTGCTAGTTGTGACGTGACAGCACCTGCTATTATCGATAGCAGCTTCCACAGGAAATTGCTGGTCTTATCATATTGGTGCTGGAGCATATAAGTTTCCTGTTGCAGAATATGGCCAATCTAGGTAAGTCTATTGCCCTGTCCGTTTGCAAGGTGGAACTAGTTGCGCGTAGCAGAAGCATGACTCAATCACAAATGCTTCAATGCACATATTCTGGAAACCCACAATGAGTGTAAGAGAGCTGCAGAATTGTTTATTAACCTGCGATTGTATCTCCCAGCCAAATGGAACACTTCTCACCTTTTGATACAACGTTCTTAATGCCTTCCTTAGCTTATTCGTTGATGTCCGTCATTCGCCCTGCAATCAGCCTCGGGCGCTAGGACAAATGGTTGGGTTGAGCACATTCCAATCCACCAAACGATGTCCATCTGTAATGAGAAGATGATCGTTATACTTGCGATGTTTACGTGTGGAAGGCTGCACTTTCTCTTGGAGGTATCTATAGCAAAGGCTACTGCTTAAGGCTCAAAGTTAGTCTCGAACAGGAGCACTTTCATATCTAAAGACTCGATTGAGCTTATGAAATACCAATGGGGAGAAGAAACTGTAAGTTAGGCATAACAGACTGCAGAATTGCAAAATTTACGAATATTGCACGCAAATAGAAGCATAGAAAGAAATCAGGGCATACGCAGTTTTTTCACAAACATGCACGAGAAAGACAATTGATCACTGCATACAAACTATCAGGGAACGTCAAACCGGAGCACGATATAAAAACCATGCCTTCGGTAAAACATGTAACCCACTGAGAGATTTGCACACGTTGAAGTACAGAAACGCATTGCTACATCCAACATAGAATCAATTCAAGAAGTTCTCTAATGTGACACCTAAACCATTACGGCCCACAGATAATTCTGACCTTGCACCACCAGAACAACAGAACATCATGTGGTGCACTTTTAGAAATAGATCTAAACTATTTTTTCTAAACTATCACACAACGGCAAGATTTTGTAACTCAAATTCGCTCATAGAAAGCGCTGTCTGATTGCCCAAATATATGCCGAACTAAACAGTTCGTCAACGCTCATCAGCAAGTGAACAACCGTTTCAATCAAAGACATGGTTTGGTACTAGGAGGGGTAGAATTAGGGTCAGCTTTCAGCACCCCAATTGCAATCCAATAGCAACCCTCGAGCATTACAGCTAATCTAAGAAAGATCCCAAATTGATCCAGGGTTTGTACCATTTACACATAGCATTCCTTCACATGAAAAGGCAGCAACTCCGCATCGCTCTCCTGATTGTCACCTTGCGCTGCTGAAAACTCATGTACACTATGTTCCTTGCTCTCTTTTCCTCCCTGCACGTTCCGATTTTCTAGCGCCAAGTCGCGCCACATTGTAATAATCTCCTGAATCCCGAACTTGAACACATCATACGTAACCCACCAGCTCTGCACTAATGGACGCTCAATCAGCAAACAATCAATCAACCTTAAGATATATCGAGGAACAATCTCGGCATTTTATTTCACAGTCATCCATGCCCTGCTTACACTTTAGACCTAATTCAGCGAGATGTAAGATGACCTGGCACAACTTTGGGCAGTTACTTGGCAAAATCGCACTTCGCTGTTGATCACTCTTCTAAGTCCTCAAACATCACAGAAGAGTTATCGCCAAATTACTAGAGAGCCTGGCCATGCTTGAAATTACAGATAGCTCAGTTCTCCACTGGCTCCAGAATATTATGTATCGATGCATTCTCAAGGAACCCGCTTATGCTCAAAATGTTTTCTAGAAGTCAGCGGAAGGAGGACTGATGCACAGCCCATAGCCAACACACCAAGTCCATGTACCTATGCTGTAGCTATATCCATCTTCCAATCATTTGTGAAGAAATCGTTACTATGTATAGCTGCCGATGCAATTGGAAGCATTTCTCTTATCAATATCTGCGAAAGGTTATTCTATTTTATTTTTTTGAAAACCCTTAAATTTTTTGGGAAAAGTCGACGAAAAAGGAGAAAGATTACTGTACATGGTGATCGAACTTGACGGGTTTCAAGAGAGTTTCTAAGCATAGCACAAGTCTGTTTAAATTCTCTGTGTTCAAGTTTAATGGCTTTGCAAAAGAATTCAGACGCTGCGTGTGTAGATAGAACTTTGTAGTTTGTAGCAGAGTGATTTTGAGCAGTGTGTGTTATTGAGAGTTGTATACAACAATCTGGCATCACTGGGGTTGTGTCAAATTTAGTGCTGCAGAGTGCACGGGATAATATGTACAGAGTTTTCTGGCGGGTTTGAAGAGTCCTCGTTGTGGGGAATCTGTTTCCAGGTCCAAAATCGATATGTTTCTCTTCGGTTCTGGTAGTTAGGGTTTAGCGTGTGGGTTTGCTTGCTGGTACTTGTAGCGATGTCGGGTCTTTGTAGTGTGTGTGGCGCCGCTGATTTATCAGTTGGCGGCGATGGTTTTTCATATTGCAACGTTTGTGGATCCCAATCTCAATTTTATCAGGATCAAGCATTTGATTACGACGACACGCACGTCTACAATGCAAGGAACGTTCGTGAGCGCGGTATCGCACGTAAAGAGTCTCAACTTGCGACTCAGGAATTACAGAACACTTTGGCAACTCAGGCTTCGCAATTGGCTACTGAAGATGATCTCGCCTTTTTTCAATCCTCTCAATTCCAATCTCAGTATCAGTCTCAATTTGGCGACGATATTCTGCCTTTCGCTCAGTCTGTGAAACATTCTCAGATACCTGGGAATCCTCAGTCTGATATTGAAGATTTAGGTTTGACGGAATCAGAGAAGTTGGCGGCCAGGGTGCGGAAAGTGTATGTCGAGGGCGTGCAGATGTTGGTACAGATGCAATGTGAGGCGTTGGTGCAATCGTTCGGGGTCACTCCGCTGGTGTGTGGCATTCTGGGGCCCGTGTGGATGAAGTTTGTGAGGAGCACTTGTGTGTATGAAAAAGGGTGGGCGGAAGAGGCTTTGCTAGTCGCAGAAGCGCAGCATGAGAAGTCGGACAAGGAAGATACGGAAGATGAGAATAATGCCCTGGCAGGTAGTTCCGCGTCTCTCACCCATTTCAATTTTCCCGAAATTGTCAGTAATCTTTACTTGGTTGCGATATTCGATGACTACACGATTCTTTCAATTTTGTTCATGCTATTTTGTGTCTTTGTAGCAGTCGTCATGCCTCCAATGACCTTGTATTCCTGCAATTCTTTCCATTCTTACATTTGTGAATTGTTGGTGTGGGTTGGTGTTCGGCAGGGTTGGAACTTGACAAGGATGAGAAACCTGTAATTAGCAAGGAGGTAAAGCCGAGAAGGAAGAAAAGAGTTGTTGGTGAGCCCTGGACCACCTATGGTGAAAGGACTCGCTTTGTATGGCTTCGAAGTCTCAAGGCACGAATTCCTCTCCGCTCTTCACTTGCAATAACGTATCTAGTATGCCATTTGGCCCGGGAACCAATTCTTCCAACTGACATCATAAACTGGGCATTTGAAGGAACTCTACCGTACTTGAGTGCATATACAGCAATTGAAAAGCGTTCTAATTGGATACCTGAGCTTCAATTGTTCAAAGCTAGCAAGATCTTTAAACCTCTAAGAATGACAAATGCTCGAGTAGTAGAGTATCTTGCCAGTCTAATTGGAGATCGAATAGGCTTAGAATTGCCTCCGATTAATTTCCATGCAATTTCTAGGAGATTTTTGAAAGAACTCGACCTTCCTGTTGAGAAACTAGCACCTTATGTTTGTAGATTATATGAGTGGTTTCCAAGTTCAGGATTGTGGCTCACCAGTCAAGTGAGCAAAGTCCCTACTCGCGTATACGTAATGGCAGCGTTAGTAGTTGTCTTCAAGATTCTTTACAATCTGGATGGTAGATACAGATTGTCAAGTAAAGACTTTGATGCAGTTAGTGGAGATGATGAATCAATGGACACGTTGGAAGTGCGAAAGGAAGAGCAGTGGAATGCGGAAGAGTTTGTAACGAAGATAAAGCTCTTACTGCATAACGATATCAACCAAGTTGGTGATTTCTCTAGTCATTTTTCTTCTTGGCTTCCCTCTTATTGATATTTTGGCAGCGCTAAGGCACAGTTTATCCTTTGTAAGCATGTTTCTTTCTGAATAGGTTTTGAGTCTAGCTGTAATCACACTGACATTTGCTGGTATTTGGTAATCAACATCAGGTGACGATTTTTTCACTTATTTATGGGGAATTGCAGTTTTTTTCCTTATTGTCCCCTTCTTACTAGTGAATTTTTTGTTATTAGCACTTAAAAGGTTGTTTTCATTCTAGAAAAAGAAAAATTTGGGAAGTCGTGATTGAAGGTAAACAATCATATTGTTTAATGCATTCTCTACCACGGTAACATCATAGGTGACAGGTATTTGGTCTATATAGCTGAGTGGTATTACGGGCCTGAAACAGATGATCAAGAGCAGCTCACAGACTACTTGCGGTACTGTCGAGAAACCATTTTTGCTAATGATGGCATGTCGAATGATGAAGACCTACGTGATTACTTTTGGGGAATTTACGAACAGTCTGCTAAACAGGTTACCTGTCTGTTTTAACTTCTATTATACATGTTCATGCGTAATTAGTTTGTGGGCTCACTAGTTCTTTTTGGCGTTTTTAATAGATACCCAGCGTGAATATTTTCAAAACCTTCTTATGCATTTAGTACTGCAAGAATAAATCACGTGACATAGCCTTGGACATGATTTCGTATCAAGCTAAAGTGCTCAAGATACAGCCTTGATTATTTGCCTTATTATTTCTCAGGTTTCTGTGCTCGTTGAGTGACCAACAGCTTTCCTGTTATTTTGTTTCCTGCAGGGTTCTTTGAGAGGAACTATATCTAAAGAATCACAAAACACGGAATCTGACATTGGCACTAATGGATTACTGCTTTTAGATTCTGAAGAAAATAGCTTTTATAAACAATCGAAGCCTGGTAAAAAGTCGAAGAAAACATCATCAAAGTTACAGACAGATCCATTACTAAGAGGGATGGAGGATCTTGGGTTTTGTATCATTGACCCTCCTAAACATGTGCCTCGGGAGAACGAGTATTGGACTTACGTGATTACTAGAGACGATATGCGACCTGTTCATGAAGATTATCTCTTTGTTCTAAGGGCTTGTGCGAAAATCATAGACGTTGACCCTCGTGTACTACACATGGCAATCTTGAATGTGGAAAAAGGAATCATAAAAGTGGAAAAGAGAACCTCAAAGTTTCACGATAAATCATTTAATGAAGCCGGTCATGGGTCTGAATAACTGGAGGAGGTTGATTAGGCTGCCTTGGGCTGTATCTAATTGCTGCGAGACGAACCGTATAAAACTCGACAAGGTCGTAAAGGTATGCACTTTAAGGGAATTAATTAAGAGTGAAAGAGGTCTTGTTCACATTATTATTTCACCTGAAGATGCGAGAAGTAAACAGTGAAGCTACCTGTTGAGTTCAAGGAAGAAGAGTTTTTTTTGGTTCAGTAGAGTCCAGGTAGTTCGTGGGACATATCTAGAATGTGAACAGTACTGAAAAACTTAAGTCTAGCAGCCGACATCTCCACCCGCTAGTTCTGAAAATGGTAGTGGAGGACGTGGCGATGGAGTCACTGGACTGGTGAAAAAGATCGAGTTCACGGTGTCTGCGAGGTAGCACCAGTGGAGCTCGGCGCGATATGTGAACGAGACTGCAGGAACTTATCTCAGTGGTAGAGGTACCCGTCAAGACTGGGTTTTTGAGAAAGGGTTTATTGTATAAGTATGCTTGCTTCAATCGTATGTTAAGATTAAACACTCTGAAGTGACAGACTTGTCGGCGAGGTATATGAACCGTGAGAAACCAAACGAGTGTCTTTTATAGGGACGAGTCTCTATTTTAGGTCACAGTTGGAGATGGTAAAGGTGCGTCAGAATTTGTGAATCTTTTGTGTGATTTTTTGTTAGGTGCTCTTCGAAGCGTTTCATCGTTGTTGAACAAATGATTCCAATTTGCTTATGATTTTTATTAGAGGTGTTCAGAAGGTCGTTTGGCAGTTGAAACACTTGTGGATTTGATTTCCTGTTGGATAGTTACTAACCAAAAGTGCATCTCTCTGTGTTGATGTGCTGAAATTGTGTTTTTTCCTTGATGTGCCGGTGTTTTATTGCTCGTATGTCTTATTCATGTGATCTAATGGTCTGTGTTCTCAAATTCCAGGGAGTTGGCACGAATCATTCGTAAATGTCGGATATTTCTATGTGTTTTCACCCTAGCGTTGTCTAGGCTACCAAGAAGCTTGGAGTTTCTCAGATAACACTGAAGAAAGCATGTAGAAACATTGGTTCCCCTGGTTGGCCTGGTGGTAAGTTAGGACCTCTAGAGGCATTCTTCTATTTAAATTTTTATCGCACTATGTGTCCACGTATTGAAATATACGAAATGAATGTTCGTTTAATTAGTTCTTTACAAATTATACTTGAACATTGCTCTGCATGTTTTCACTTACAGTTAATCAAGTTAAATTATGGTGAGTGGTTTCGTAACAGCATCAGCAAATACATTATGTGGTTAGAACCTAATGTGGTTTGGATCAATTGCAGATGTAGATCAGGCGCTTGGAGAGCACAATCCACAGGCTAGGACACGCAATCGCTGTTGGACAACAGGATGCACTAGTTGATGCGCCAGTAGACAATGAAATTGTTGTCAACTGCACTATTACCATTGTTAGGAAACCACGCCCCGAGAAAGTAGTGATTCCTGAGAGAATGACATCCCATTTCCACAGAATTTCGAAGGCGCCAAAATCTCTAAGTGCTGTCGAGGGTGCAGTGCGACAAAGCTTACGGTCCAGCACTTGTGCAATTTAGACTTCCAGCCACTGAGAGGCTCCCCATGTCATTAGTTCGTTTACTTCACTAGAGATTGCAGTCCGTTTGTCACTGCAATCATGTAAGATTCAAGAAAACAGAATTACCGAAGTCTAATTGTATAGAAATACGTGACATACACACGAGTTTCTCACCAAAAAATGCCCCTGTTTCATGCTTAATCCGCTACAATCTAGACATCTGGAGCATGATCGATGAACTTTCTAATGACACAGACAAGCTCGGGAGATCAGTGAAGTGTTTTACCCTTTTACAGGCCGACGAACACCTATGTTTTAATGTTACCTTTTTCACTCAGTCCTATCAACTGATGGCAAAATGAATAAACTCTACCAAAAGTCAATGTTTGAAGTTTACCGGTGTAGACTATCCGCCATGAAGACACTGCGTCACAATTGAGAGGAGCATCTCTTCATGACAGAGTGCACTCTCATTTCTGAAGAGCTATTTGTGAACTTGTGAAGGTTATTTTCCTGTATTTTACAACCTGCCTATTCAAGGTCACTGTAATTGGGCAATACTTACATTGAGCATCAGCGTTTTTCTAACCAATGGCTCCGCGATCAATTATTTACACTCAAGCCTCTACGCTTCGAAGTAAAATCAGGACTCTGATGGATGCAGAATGGGGGGCCCATCTCCCCTTGCAAAGCTCGTGATAGAAAAGCAAAACTTCAGCGGGACTTCAGAAGAAGCTGCCCTTTAATTTTTTCAGCGTCTTCTGTGTGGTCTTTAAATGACTCGAAAGTTGATTGTTGCTCTTTTTAGTCTTCTCAATTGCTGCTGCCATCCTCACATTGGCGTGCTCCAAATCCCTGCACTTCTTTTCAGCACTTCTCGCCTCCATCGTATCGTCGTTGGCTTTGATACGAGCCCATTTCAGAGTATGCGCTGTTTTAGCCATTTCCTTTTCCAGTTTCTGTAGAACACAGTCCACAGACGCGTTCCGAGAGAACATGACAAATCCCTGATTTTCAGGATGCGTGGATAGCCGTAACAGAAGCTAAGAACCAAAAAGCATGTGCATTGTGTACAGACATTGGTCAAAAAAAAAATGAAAAGTCTCGAATTAATTGAAGTACAATCGGTTTTGAAATGTACATACTGCATTGTCCTCCTCAAGCTTGATGCTTTCATCTTCTAATTCTTTGACCCTGAAGGTCATGGGCCCTATCTGATCCCTATCCTCCAAGGTCGCAGCATAATTAACTAGTTGCTTGAGTCGCTTCACAAGTGAGGTTAATCTTGTGATCTCACCCGCGAAAACATCACGCTCGAACTCTATTTCCTGAGGATTCATTCGCATTGTGCAGTTGAATGTAGAAACTATTCAGATGAAGGCCAAAAAATGAACATAAGTTGAGGAAAAGGACTTTATGCAGCATCATCTAAATTTAAAATAATTTCAGATTGAATCAAAATTCTAGCCTGTCTCTTAACCCAAGAGGATTATGAAGCATACTTTAGTATGCGACACACGGGCATCAGTTCGAAGCTTGTGAATCTCTTCGCTTTGCTGCTCTGCCTTATTTTGTAGTTGTGCGATTTTATTTTTCAAACCTGCATGTTACCCAGAAGTCTCTGCCAATGGGAAGATTTGAACATAACCCAGTTGAAGACATTTAACTCAAACTATACAGACGACTAAGTGAGTGGAATCTAACCTTGAATTCTAGCACGTAGTTTCACTGTTCCTTGAGGTTTTGTGGCTTTGGAATGGCAGTTGGGTTTCTCCATGTCTTCAATATCCCTTATCATTTTCCTGCCAGTGATGAAGTACCTTAATGAAGCTCATGTTCGTGTTATCAAGTCCGTAATATCGAAGTGAACAGTACCAAAGTTCATATTCTCAATCACATTTTATACATGTCCAACGAAGTCCACTAAAACACGCGAGGACGAATTTATACCTGGGTAACGCGGTCCATACTGTCCAGAGTACTATGCGAAATCATTTCGAAAAGCCTCACTTCTTTCCTATTTACCAATCTCGAGGTATAGTTTGAAACGGTTTGATTCCAAAATCGATGTCCTAGATCCCAATTTAACCCTGGAAAGCCTCAAAATGTAGTTTTTTGAAGCAGCGCACAGGGATTTGTGGTGACAAGTCGTCTCCTCCCAGATTGATCAGCTACTTGAATCAAGAAGCTCACCCTCATTTCAAAAATATGGTCGGGGGTGGGACCATACATACTATATTGACGGCTACAAAGCCCAAATTGTACATCACTCCTTGTTTTGTTCCAAAATAAAAATAAAAATCAACTCTGCTATCAAATTGAAAACAGCACTACTCTGCTCTAAACCCCATGTAAAAGAATCTCTGCAAACTGCCCGTTAAAAACCCCAATATTGATCGAAACAATTGAAGAAAGAGGTATGAAGCAACACACCTGTTCTCCATCTCAATAATGGAAGCTTGGATCTTGTGATGCTGGATGTGCATCTGCTGGTCTTGCACAGCCCTCTTCAGATCAATAATTTCTTCCACGAGGGATTCCTTGTTCCGGTATGCCAATACAAGTTTCTTCGAGACGCTGGGAACGATCCGAACCTTGGGCGAGGTCGGGGACGGCGGAGACCCAACGTCATCACATGGTGCCAAATCCAAGGCGAAGATGGGGCCTCGACCGACGGGGCCTCCTGTTGCGCCCGACGCAATCCACGTTCCTCCGCACTCTCCAGCGAGCTGGGGGCATGCTTCCGTAAGCTCCGAATCCCAAGTGCTCAGCCGAAGGGACAAATCAGAGGTAAGCGGCGACTGCATTGGGCGGGCGCCACATCCCGCCACTCGACACGGCCCTGCGTTTTTGCACTTGGGGTCCCAGTCTCCCACCTTGGATCGCAAATCCCAGTGCAGTGACTTTAAGTCTTCGGCTGCCTCCACTGCTGGTTTCGCCATTGCGGGATTCGCTTCGGCACCTTGTAATCTTACACTCACAATTCTACTCCGCTAAATGCCTCCTGGCGCCTGCACCGCAACTAGCTTGGGCGATTAAGAACCAATGAAACAAATTCAAATAGCTTCAAATCCTCCATACAAATTGGTTCAGGAATCCCTACAATAATCTCTGAATTACATTGCCTGATGTCAACTGGACCCCTGCCCCACATCTGAATTTCCCTCGCGTTCTTCATCCTCCGTGCTGTCTGCGCTCGACCCAAAGGGGCAGCGACCCTTCACGCGCCCAGAGATAAAACCCCAAAGGGCCCGTAGCTCTTCAAATCCAGATGCAACCGATGCTCTGAAGGGATGGCAACCACCAACACCGCACACCCGTCTAATTCTTGCCTCACCCTCGTGAAGTGTTTGGCTTCACTGCAGGGCTTTGAATTGTCCGCAACCCCAACATTTCCAAACGCGGTGGGGCCTCCAAGGACGTCCTCTTGCATCCATATCGATCTGACAACCTTGTTACCACCAAGGCCACTAAACCGTTGCACGGAAGCGTTCATAGCGACTTGATCGCACTGTCGGCAGGATGACAAGTCTGGTTCATGCAGCGTTTCATGGGTTGTCACCATAATCCCATCAGCATTGCAGCACAGTTACATCCCTGGACAATATATATAATAATTTACAAACGTTTCACTTTAAAGTTGAAAACGAACCGCCTACCAGCCTTATCTCCGTGCAGAAGCTTGGATCCATTTACTCTCCTTTGACGTAAGTGTGAGAGTGACTTGTGCCATTCGATGCTGTTGAAATTGTTACTTTTCTGGAACCCAATTTCGCATTATCTACTTAATAGCTGAGACAAGTGTTTGGTAAAGTGTAGTCACTATTACTACATGATAAGATAAATTGGGTAGATAACTTCTTGTTCGTTTTATGAACTTTGTTTTAATATGTGTATTTTCATTTGCAAATATGTGTATATTTTTTCAATATTTAATATATACAATAAAAAAAAAAATCTGATTTTTTTAATGGGGGGATAAAGATGTATTGTTAAATAAACAACATGTGTGATATAGATTGTATCTTTTTAAATTTATGTACTTGTTCCAAAGTGCACACATATATATAGGGACTTGTTAAAGTTACATCCCCCTTCCCACCTCATGATCCATTTTATACATGTTCTTTGTCTCTGACCTTGTTCTCAATCTTCCATCTCTATCATGCCCCTGTCATGACCTCACATTGTCCAACCCCACCTTTGTTTTGACCATATCCAGCCTTGACCTTGTCCCCACCTTGTCTGGACCCCAAACCCATCCATGTCGTAAAGATTTTTTTTTTTGTTTTATGAATTAATCATACAGGTTCAAAGTTAATTAATTGGGTTTTAAGTAACTGAAGGTCAAAAATGATTTTTGATAGTTGAAAATGTGTATTAGACTTGTTGTAATAGTTAATTTATGGTCTACAAGGTAATTTGATAAAGGCCGGAGATGTTTGTAAAAATGTAGTGGTGGTTTTTGTTATCTATTCTAATTGTGGATTTGTGTGTTTTTTCTTGTTTTTTGGAGGATATTTGAGTATGTAAACTTTACCACACAAAATTTGATACAAATTATTTTGGCATCATATTGTAATGTTAGATTGTTGTCTTATTAGAATAATGTGTGAAAACACACATACATACAAACACACAAATTAATAACCATTAAAAGAATTTAAACATTAGAATAACAATAAGAGTGTGATATTAATTATCAATAATTTAATTGAATATTATAATATTCTTTAATAAAATATTTTATAGGTATACACATACACATAATAATGAGTATTCTGATTTTCTTTTAAATTTTAAAAATTATTCCTTACAAAACAGAATTCACTTGAAAATGTTTTGATTTCTAGGCCACTTTTTTTAGTTTATTAATCATTCTAAACTTAATAATTTTGGTACAAATATTATTATTAATATTCAATAAAAATTTATTAAATGCTTTTCTAAATACTATAAATAATCATATAAAAAATAATATGATTTGAATATTTGGAATAACATAACATCAAAAAATATTTTAATATATGTCATAAAATTTATGATAAAATATAAGAAGTTTATAATTTGGCATTTCATAATAGATATGGTTATTCCAAACCAATATCAAATTAAGCTTATTTTATTTTATTTTCAACTAAAATTTTCACAGATCTATTAAGAAAAATCCATAACAATCTTTTAAATTTTATGTGGATAAACAAAGTTGAAGAGTTTACTGAAAGTACCCTTAAAACATATGTGTATGTGGAATTAGATATATATAAATGAATATATATATATATATATATATATAAATATAAATTTTAATACAACAATTATTCTCTGAAAATATAGAAAAAAAAATTATCTTATTTTTTTTAAGGCATTTTTATTCTTGTGTTATGAACTAAAATATTCTTGGTAGTGTACCCACCATATTATTTACCACTTTTTATTATATTTTTGTAGTCACTTGTAAGATGATAGAAAATATGTAATAAAAATATTTTATTCAAAATTTATAGAAATTTAATTGAAATTATTGCTGTAATAAATAACTAACTAAAATAAAAGGATGGACATAGAGTTATATTGTAATTATTTAAAGTATTTTTAAAATGATATTGTATTTTAACTTATTTATATTATAATTATTTAACATAATTTTTTGCAAAATATTTAATAGTTGCATGGTAGCAATAATTTTTTATGTGTGTGAGAGCATGGAAAAGCATGTTGGCAAATGAAAGTGGGCAAAGAATGCAAAGAAGGATTAGAACTTTGTGAAGGCAATGCAACTTGTTGTTTGTAACTCCGCAAATGTAGTGGAACTATTATATTATGATGAAAATTACATGATGGAGGAAAACAATAAAAGTGTAAATAGAAATATCAATTCCCATATTATATTGTGAAATTTTAGGATATACTTCTTACAAATTCTTGTTTGGATAAAATATTTTTTTAATATTTAAATACATATACATAATTTACATAAATACATTTACAACAAATACATAATTTTTCTACAAATCAAAGTGTAGGAAGCTCAGTCACTCACGTGAAAGGACATGACCATGAAGCGAGAGAGCGAGAGAACAAGCTGATGCAATCCCAGAAACCAAGTCAGACACTTTAACAAACATTAACGAACGTGAGCACGAAAGAGTAGACAGACAGACGTGGGGAAGGGGACTGTAGCAACGCAATAATCACCCATAGCAACAACAGCATCAATGGCAGCAGCATCCCCTGTTTCCTCCGATTAGGGTTTCGTGCTTTTCCTCTTATTCCAATCACGCTCCACCCTGGCGATCCTCCTCGTAGGGTTTGCTCAGCCATAGCCATGGTCATCTGCACAGGCTGGTCGTCGTTACGCTTGCCTCAATCCGCGTCCCGGAGCATTGCGTGGCGTGGACGTTACGTCACGTTGTAAGACTCGCGAAAATTTGTGTCGCGTGACTGCTTCTTCGGTGAGTCGATGATTTTGACGCAGTCCTCGGGTTTCTTATAACCTGATGGTGAGTAATGGTGATGGGTGGTTGTTTTGTTTATTGCGGGGGGATGTATAGGAGTTGGAGGAGAATTAATTTGGTTGACGGAGCAGGATGATGGCTAGGGTCTGGTTCGTTAGTGCGTCTGGAGTCTATTGATTGAGCGGAAGATGGTATGCCACACTCTTTCGTGCTGCAAAGTGGACGGGTTACAGGTTGTGGAGCGCCGGGAGGAGCACGGCCTGATGTCCAAACATCGAATTCATTCTGTCAGACCTAAGTTGCGATCCACCTTAAGTACAGGTTAGAGGAGTGATATTCCTTACTTTCGGCCCCGTTTGCTCATTGTGAACGGATTGTGAGTCATTAGAGTTAGCCCATTCAGATTGGAAGTTAATGTCGCTTTAGTTGTTCGATTGTAGATTCTCCTTGCTACCAACTTTTAAAAGGTTATAAGCTGCATTACTTCGGGTATTGAGGAGTGGGTGCCTGTGGTCTTAGAGGATTAAGGCAAAGCCAGTGTGATCAACGAAGAAGGGCGATGAATTCAGCAGGGGCTTTGCGGAGAAGAATACACCATGAAGATGTTGGAGGCAGAAAGTATGATCGGGAGTCGTCGTCCGCTGTCGAGGGTTTGAATGAGCCTCTTCTAGGTAATCACAGCAGTGATGATGATGACGATCGGGATTGGAGGGACAAGAAGAGAAGAGAAGATCAAGTGTGGACACACAATGTCTCTAAATTGCTTGCACAGTGGGCCCAATGGTTCTCTATCGTTGTGCTAGCAGGTGGTTTCCGGGTAGGCAACAATCTATTCATGGCTGTACTTGGTCGTCAATTTCATGGTGGCGGTGGTGATAAGCCCGATTATTACCTCTCTCCTGTTCAGGTCGGACGGTTAGAGAAACTTCAGCAACGGCTTGCCGTACCTTTCGACGGAACTTTGCCGCAGCATCAGGATGCTTTGAAAGCCCTCTGGCAGGCATCGTTTCCAGAAAGAGCCATGCCAGGACTAGTGTCGCCACAGTGGAAGGATATGGGTTGGCAAGGCAATGATCCTTCCACTGACTTCAGAGGAGGAGGATTTATTTCACTGGAGAACTTACTCTTCTTTGCTCGCAGATTTCCAGCTGTGTTTCAGAGGTTGTTGCACAAGGAAGAAGGAAAGAGAGCTGAATGGGAATATCCATTTGCAGTCGGGGGACTCAACATTACATTCATGCTCATACAACTGCTAGATCTACGTGCAGCAAAGCCCAATTCGTCTTCTGCGGCATCATTCTTTAATATTCTGGCCACTGATGAAAATGCTTTCGATATGCTATATTGTGTAGCATTTCAGCTGCTGGATGCACAATGGTTAGCATTAGGGGCCTCTTACATGGAGTTCAACGTTGTTCTGCAAGCAACTCGCTCACAGCTTGAGAAGGAATTGGCATTGGATGACGTAGATCGTGTTGAAGACCTCCCATCTTACGTTGCCCTTGTGAATTCCACCTGATTTCGCTATGTAGATTCTACATCATGTGATACTATTCAAGACATTGTAACATTGCATTTCTTACCCGATCCAAAGGTCCATTTTTGGACTTTCTTTTCTTTGGATCGAAGACTACTGAGGTATCGATAATTTTTCAGAAATATCCTCAATTCTCTTTTCTCTTCCAAATCCTTTGCTTGTTGCTTGAAAAGTAGGTTTATTATATTTTGCTCTTTTCAACCTTACTTGGCTGCTGTGAATAATTCTGTTGAGATTGTTTTCTTAAAACCTTAGAAGTTTGGAAGCTTTTCAAAGGTGGCAGGTTTTAAAAATAGTGTAAAAGTGAAGAAGAGATGGTTTCATTATATAGGGGACAATGACAATCATTATTCAATACAATGTGCAACTTGTAGGTTGTGTATATAGTTGATTTCTAAAGATATCAAATTGTAAGAAAAAATTTCAGTCATATTACATATCCAAAAGAATTCATGATTTTATTTATAGTTAGGATGCTTTTCTTAATATTTCTTGAAAAATAAGTTTTTTTCATTGAACAAGCTTTTATTTATGTTTATTTATCTTTGTTTACTTCTATTTACAGCTATTTATTCGAGATTTATATGCATTAAAAACTTAAAAACGTAAAAATGTGCACATGCATCAAGTAAATGTAGAGAATATTCTTTTAAAATAATAAATTTGGAGATATTAACAAGAAGCACCCAAACTAATTTATGTAACAAAACTATGAATATTTTTTTTTGTAAATGCAATAAATTACTTTGTAAGTTAAAAAAACTCATGAGGGCACGGTACCAAAAAATTGATGCAACTTATACAAAATTGAGATTCAATAGAAATAATTTTAATTACTATTTATATATTGTACAACATAGAACTTCTGTTATGTTAGTGTTTATATATATAAATTGTTTAATTATGCAATCAAGAACTCAATTGGTGTATTCAAGTCAAGGATTGAAATAGTACAAGATGGATCTATTTTATTTTATTTTATTATAGTATTATGATAGAAATTGTAAGGAAATAATTTTTATACACCATTACTATGTTTTAAACCAAGAACATTAAAAAAATATCAAAGCATTACATCACAAACGATTACAAATTTATTAATACATTATTTGATACTAAGATGAAATTTTTGAAGTATAATAAAGAAATATATTGAATACTTGATGTGCTATAGAATTTAAGAGTAGTTTTATTGATGCATGAAGTGGTAGATTTGAGAATTAACTTTGCATTTTCAATAGATTTAAAAAGTTAATACATGGTTAGAAGAGAATGAAATTAGATGGTTGTAAAGAAGATTATAAAATATTTCAAGATTACTATGCATTAAAACTTGCAACTTAGAAATTGAAACATTGACTTCAAGATATATTACAATGTTATTTGAACTAATGATATAATTAATAAGAAATCTATTATTAATTATTTATTTTTCTTTGTTGATAGAATTCTAATATAAAACAACAATCAGCAATTGCTTTGTTTACAATAGAGACTAAATATATGGTAGTATATTAATATACAAGAAAACTAATTTAAATTTAAGAGGTATTAGTTGATTTGAGATATAAGAAAAATAAAGAAATGACTATCATGTATGACAATTAAGGTGCAATTTTACTTGTCGAGAATCTAGTCTACTATGTGAAATCATTAGATTAATATCTTATAAATTTTAAATATTTTAAATAAAATAATTAAATATAAATATTTATTGAAAATTATCTTATTGACATAAAAAAAAATAAAATATATTCTATATATTATAATGCGCATGTTCATACATAAGCATGTAATTGTAATATTGTTTGCATAATGTCTTTTTAAAGAATTCCATTGCATTCAAATATTATGTAATATTATAGTAATTTGTCAATTTACCTTTTTAATTACTATTACAAAACTTATAAAACTTAGCTTCTTCAAAAGCATCTTCTACAATCTTTTATATATATATATATATATATATATGAAAAAATAAATAAATCAATAAAATACTAAAATATTATTTTAAAATTCCAATCAAATATTAAAATATTATATAAAGTTTTTATATCAAAATAAAATTGGGTCTTGATACTACTTTGTTGCCATATTATGTTTTATTCAACAAAGGATTTTTTTGTGAATTTTTATTAGTTTATAAAGCCAAATAAATTAATAATATCTGTTGTGTATTTAACTTTAAAACTTCACACAAGGAATTTCAACTATTAATTTTAAATTATTAATATTTGTTGTGTGGCTAAAGCCACAAATCTTAATTTTTTCTTTGACATAACTTTATGACAGATTACAAACATGCATAAAAATTAAAATATCTTTGTAACCACAAAAAACATTAAAAGTCAAAAATATCAAATTCAGCTTCACTATATCACACAAACTTAATCTAATATGTTGGATCCTTCTATTTTTGTGTCTTTGATGTAGTCCAATAATTTCTCTTCAAAGTTATTGTAGTCAAAGTCTAATTCATTACTCTGCCTTTCTGCTCACTATAATTTAGATTGAATTATGTTTATTTTCTTCAACTTAAACTGAAATGTTCATGTCTGTTATTTTTAAACTTGTAGCTTTGAATTTTTTAAAGGATATTAGTATTGCATTTATACATACATACATACATACATTTAAATAAATATTGTAATACATACTAGTTGATGTACTTAACAATTAATTGGCACATCTTTCTATATTAGAATATGATGTACCAACAATGTTATAACTTTAGGAAGAATAATTTGTTTTATTCATTAATCCTTCTATAATATTTTAATAATTTTTTTGAAAATTCTTCTTATAATATAAAATTGGATGAAGTAGTCTTACTTGAAAATTGCACCTAGCACTTGGTTGAAGAAGATAAATCAGAAATTGGAACAACAAGGTCCTAACAACTCTAATATAATCCTAAATAAACTCCAATTAAAGATTACTAATCCTAATCAAATCTTAATCATATCCAAAAGAAGTATTAAAAGAATTATAAAAGAAATATAAAGCAATCTTAAAGAATTTCTAAGGAACTTTGCAAAAAACCTAAATAAATAACAAAAAAATCCTAAAGAAATATCAAAATAGAAATCATAAATAAATATTAAAAATAAAAATCCAAAAAAATCTTAAATAAAATATAAAAACATATTAATATAATTCTAAACTAATTCTAATAAAATCCTAAAACATGCCTTCAATAAATCTTAACTAAAATCCAACCAAACTCTAATGAAATTCCAATAAAATCTTAATATAATCCTAAAATAATTCTAATAAAATCCAAAATTTTAAACCAAATTTCAATTAAATCTTAAATCTTAAACAAATCCTTAATCAACTTTCTAACAAAGTGAAATCTCAATAGCTAATAGTTTAATTGTAAATTTTAACTCAAAATTTTCACACCTTTTCAATTATTTAGTTGACAATAAGCACAAAGAATTAAAGAATTGGTCTTTATGTCAAGAATATGAATCTTAATGCATTGAAAGATCAAAATATTCTTGCATCATTTGAAAAGATTAGATAATTACTCAAAAATGATATAATATTAAATTATAATGGTTGTTTCCAAAGATAAGAAGATTATAGACTAAAGACTAGAAAGGCGTTGATAAGAGTAAAGAAGGCTTCATTCTTGTCTCCATATGTACTATCTAATTAGAAGCTACATGACAATGTTTTGTAGGACCTCCAACATGTATTAACTTTGCAAGACATATCTTAACTTGCAATGTACGTTTTCTATATGTGTGCCACATAGTTAGCTTGTCCCACAAGCTACTAATACGTGTGATATGTGGTTAACTTTTTGACTAAATTTCTAATCTATCAATCAACTACAAACATGTATAAAATCAAAATTGTGTCTATGAAGCTTTGAAGAGGCTATTCTAGAAGATACTATGAAATTAATTTATATTTATTAACTTCTATTTAATTATATAGATAATTATTGGAATAAAAATATATATCCATTGTCGTAATGTAGTACAATTATATAGTAAAAATATAATCAAAATTAAAATTTTAATCAATATCTAATTATCTTGGTTCAATAATAATTTAAGATATTTAAACATGGCTTTTATAAAGGCCTCTTAGTTTATTTTTTTACCTTAATAGTTAGTAGGTTGAAGGATGGTTAATACTTTTATCTTCTAGGCTATAGAGATTCTTTTGCTGCCTTAGAAAGACCATAAATTAATAAAATCAAGTTAAAAGAAATAAATAATTAGCGTGGTTGATACTAGAATTAAGTTAAGAATAGGATTGGACTAAAAAATCCCTAGGATAGGTTAGGTTGATATTTAAGGGTCGATTGTTTATAAAATAGGGTCGAAATCAGACCTCTAGCCACTAAAATGATGACCTAAGGCAAAATAGGGAAACATTTTGAAGATCAGTGATTAGGATTCAAGATTTAGCTTAGAGCTTGTTTCAAAGATGTAAGGCTTGTTTTTGTAGGATTTGATTAAACTTGATAATTTTTGTTCAAAATTAGAATTTGTATTGGCAGCTTGGGATTTATGTAATACAATTAAGGCTAGTACTCTCAGCTAGTTTATAAACTTGGTATCACATCTATAGTTCAAAATTTAACAATATTTGATTAATTGAATGTACTAAGTGTATGTGAAATTTTGTGATAATCCAATAGTGCAATTGGAAGATATTTGAATTTTAATAGAAGAAAGTATCAGAAGTTGGAAATTTGGGGTTGGGTAAGATTTCTACTTATTGGATGAAGAAGAAATTTGGCTTTGTCTTAAAAGACTTGAAGATCAAGCTACACACCAATTTTGAGTTGAAATTAATAGTTAGAGAAGGAGAAGTCACTGCTAGAATGTTTGCATTAACTTTCAAGTTGGCGGCCAAGTAATGTTAATGTTTTTTTCAAGTGATTTCTTATGATCTGTAAGTTGGATTGAGGTGAATTCTATTTGAACACATAGAAGATGTATAGTGGCATTTTTTCACAAAATTTTGCTTCAAGTAAACTATTAGATTAGGAGCTATAGCTTGCTAAAGTTTACTGATTAGAGTTAAGATTTGTAAAAAAAAATTCAAAATTGCCTAATTATGAAAGTAATAAAGAAAATAGAGTTTATGTGTGGTTGAGATCACTAAAAAGAGTGTTGTTTTGAGCACTTTGTATTGGACTTAAGCACTTTTGAATTAAAATTTAAATTGTATTCTTCTTTTA